ACATATGACTGAAAGTTGCAAATGACTGTATCAGTCTGATCAACAAACACCCGTTGATTCCCTGCTTACCCTTCTCTTTTATTGCCCACTCCGCATCTGCCTGCCCGAAAGCTCACCGCTGATTAGTGGCTCCACTGATACATCAATGGGTTGGAGGTCCAGGCTTCTGTTATCCTCTTCATCCCATCTTGGCTCACTATACTTCCCCTTGATTTTACTTGGCTCCACTGCAACCATGTGTCAGTTGAATCACTGGCAAGTTGGTTAGCTGGACTCCCAAATCCGCTTAACTATCTCTCCAATCGTAACTTCACTTCCGTTTCACCCGCTGGCACACCTGCCATTTGTTTGTGAAAGCACTGACGCTTTGGTAGGTAAAGCACCCGGATCCTTTCTTTACCTCTTCAACCCACCTTGCTCCCCAACACTTAGCTTCGGTTTTCACTTGACCGACACATTGTCAACATCGATATGTTTGCCACTCAGGACTACTGTAACCTCGTAAACATATCACTAGCGTTCTGTTGGACCAATTCCCTGCATAATCAAACTCCTAGCGCAGTTAGCCAAACTACTAAAGGTTCGGCATTATTGTTCACAGACCACAACCCACACATCTTAAGTAATCCGAAATCCGTATTGCGCCTCCTAATTGTAAACAACATCTGCAATGCAATAATAAGGTAGTTGCTTAAATATTTCCCTTTTTCACTGTGCAGTAATGTGGACTTATTTTTCCCTGTTAGCCAGACCCATACTGCTGTTCCTTACACTGAGTCCAGAAATTTGGTTGCGAGACCCTCCACACACTATATTATTCTCGATTCCACACATATACATAATTCCCTGGGAAGTTTTCGGCCTCCATCGCACTAATACTTACTAATACTTGCTATTTCCCTTCTATTTACATTGATCCGGACCACAACTCGTTCAACGGTACGATGAGATACTTGCTACCGAAGAAAGTTGGATCTGCATAAGAATAAACTACAACTTGAATCCAATCCCACTCAATTCGAATCTCCTCGCATCCGATAAACAATTTTAGTTTCAGAGAAAACTTGTACATAATGATCGGTCCAGGGTCTCTGGAACGTGTCTCACCTTTCCGAGAAATATACCTATTATTATTATTATTATTATTATTATTATTATTATTATAATGTAATCAACATGATACTTTAGACTGACTGAGTTGCTCTCCACTGTCGATAACCTAGATGAGCTAGGCAATGAGCAAAATTAATAAGGAACAATAAACAATGAATTTATACGGGTCAATAAGCATTGCTTTACAAGTCCCGTTGGATAGTTGGTGGGGACATCGACATAACAATAATGACAATAATGGGAGTAAAACAGTTAGTACTTTGAATATGAAAATAAGGACTTAACGTTTGCTCCGTTGTCGTGCTGCAATCAGCTTAGATTCACAGCATCCGCTGTTAACATCAAATAATTCCATGGTAAAATCCCGGTGTAGGATGGAGACGTAGTGTTAAGTAACAAAATGTAAGTGGAGAAGTGCATCGTCCAACCGTCTTTTAAATACTCTTTGTGTCGGTGCAGGGACGACCGATACTGGGAGAGCATTCTACGGGTGCTACACGAAGAGAAAAGAAATTTTGGCAGCACTCCAGATGGCTTTACTGCACAGCGAGTTTCAATGAGTGGCCTCTCAGGGTTGTGTTGGTGCTGAGTCGCAGTAGAGCGCGGCACACATGATGTGGGTCTCGAAGAACCAAGTATGCCATAATCAGGTCGTCTGTTAGTCTGCGATAGCATCCGCGGAATATCCGTAATCTTTGCAACGGCACCTGGTATAAAAGAATGCGCATTCCAATTACGTTCTTACATGCCCAACGTTGTGACTGCTCCAGTGCATTAAGGTCGTGTTTTAGCCATGGTTGCCAAGCTTATATTGCTTATTCGACATGGCGGCGAACATACTCACTGAGTATTTGTAGAAATATGGAGCTGTTTATTTGTCCAAACTCCCGTCGCAACAACCCGAGATGTTGGTTTCCAGTCTTCGAGTCCTTTTCGGATTGCCTGGAGCAACCGAAGTCATCTTGAACTAGGACATCCAAGGCACGTTCAAGAGTTGTTTGTTGCAGTGCAATCGTTCCGAGCCGGGATAAGTAGCTGCCCTGATGTCAGATGGAAAGAACCTTGTATTTACTGAAGTTGAAATGCAGTAAGTTTTGGGTTGACCATTAATACACAGTACCTAGGTCACTCTGATGCACATGCTAGTCAGCGTTCGCCTGGATCCTGCTCCAGATCTTGATATCGTCGGCAAACACTAGGAAGTTTGAATCGATTCCTTGTGCAGGGTCATTAATAAACACAAAAATCGAACGTGGACCGAGAACCGAGCCTTGCGGCACACCACACTCGCGTTGTATGGGGTCCGATAAAGTGCTCCGAACTGACCACCAATTGTCATTGAAGTAGAAAGTTGGCAAACTAGCTTAAAAGTGGTTCGCCGATCCCGTAATCCTGGAGCTTGGAGAGTAGTATCCAATGGTTTAGAGGATCGAAAGCCTTCGAAAAATCCAGGTAGATCACATCAACGCATTCTCCAGCGTCAACTGACTCCGTCCAACTACTGCGTGCGATTAGTAAACTCGTTGTGCATGACCGCTGTCGACGGAAACCGTGCTGCTCAGGTGTGATAATGTTACAGTTTTCCAGCTAGCACACCAGTGCATTGGCATCTATGGGTTCCATGACCTTGGAGGGCATAAGAAGTCGGGATACTGGGCGGTAGTTGGAGGGATCAGTAATGTCTCCACTTTGTGAACCGGAGTTATTATTCCAAGCTTCCACATGCCGGGAACTTGATTCTGGTCTAAGTAGTGCTGGAAAAACTGAGCTAAGGGTCCTGCCAGTTGACTTGCCGCTGCTTCCAGTGCCTCTGGACCAATGGTGTCGACACCCGGGGAGCTGTGCTTGCGTAGAGACGCCAGCTTTTGCAATACAGCCTCCGCGGTAAAAGTGATGTGGGTTAGTCCTGGCGAGGAGACGACAAAGGTTGATAGATCTCTTGCTGGCAAGACCCTCTGAAACGTGGGGGCATATTACATCTGCAGCGCGTTTGCTACTTCCACAGCCGTTCTTGTTGAGCCATCACCGTCCTGAGTAGAGGAAATTCTTGCATCACCTTTCGTAGGCTATTAACGTGCTTGTACAACAGTTTGTGGTTAGCACTGAAGGTTTTTGCAATGTTCTGCTGATAGGCGGCTTTGTCTTCTCTTAGCAGTTAAATGCAGTGGTTAAGTTGGGCTATGTAGTTGTCCCAATTTTCTGGTGCTGGAGCTTCTCTGTACACTCGCCATGCTGTGTTGCGTACTGTCACCTATTTTCGAGTTCTGCTCCTAACGAAAGAAACTGATGTACACTTACTGCAAACTCTTCTCTCTATAGCTTCTGCAATCAGATGACTGAATTTGTTGACGAACTCGAGCCAGGCGACTTCCGGGGTCCTTCGGCAAGGAACAACCAAGTTGTGACGCTGACGAGCTGGGCTACTCGATCGTAGCTTGTAATGGTTCGCACAGTCTCATCGTTCTCATTCCGATATTCCGCATAGCAGACGAAGTTGAAACTGATAACTGTGTGATCACTGCGACCCAACGGGAAGTCTGAAACCATCACATCAATCATATGCTTTTCGTTGATATGCACAAGATCCAGCAAAGATAGCCTGTTACCTCTTCTGAACCGAATGGGCAGTGATGTGATTGTAAAGAGGAACACTGGTTACGAGATCTTGTAGATTGGCTTTGAATCGTTTTCCGATCGTGGCAGGAGTTTCTACGTAATGTATGTTGAATTCACCCATGATATGTACGTGAGTGTACTTTCGCTGTAAACTGCATCTTAAAGCAGCCGTTAGGTGGCAGTCGGTTTCGGGTGTAGAGTTAGAGGGCGGTACACCGAGACAATAAGGCAAGCATCCCTGCTTTCTACCTGCCAGCTGCACCAAGGAGAGTCGGGGAACTGCGAGTATGAATCCCTCACGGCTTCGCACCGTAAGTCGCTTCGGTAATACAGGATTACCCCTGCTCCTTTTGTGAGCCTCTTTCCGGATCAGCAACATGCCTGGTAGCGAAATTTCAGCGTCCGTCATTCCCTTGTGCAAGCATGTCTCGGTGATACTAATGACATCATATGACCCGGAACCTTGGCAATCTCTCAGTTCAGCCAGCTTATTAAAATGATCCTGAGCATTCGTATCCAAGCAGATCAGTTTATCGGTCTCTAAGGGCCCACAGAGGGTTAAAGGGGTCGTGTGGGAGAATGCCGACCGATGGGAGGTCCGCAGTTACCAGTTTTTTGATGGTTTAAAGACACCTTGTTTGCAACTTGGTTCCGCCACGTGAGTCCCTATCTTCGTTTAGACCTACGTCAGGGTCAATTAAAGCAGCAGTCAAGTCACGCTTCTGTACGTTCGTCGGTACGCTTGCTGTTTCAGGTGCTTTAGTATTTGGACTGTACAGGGCTTCTGCGACCTTAGACCGAAGTTCGGAAGGAAGACTTATCCGATTTCTCAACCATCGATCCAAAACATCCGTTGCTTGTCGCGCTGACTGAATCACAAATTTTAGGAATCTAGGGTCGCATCCTCTATAATTTGATGAGAAAGGGATCCTAGTGAACTATAACGCCACAATATTATCGAAAGAAAGTGTTTCACGGATGAACCGCCCCTGTTCTAAATCGTGCTTTCCGGTCTCTTGAAGATCGTTAGAAGGATGTTCTGGCACGTCATGTACGAAGATTGTGTTTAGGGAAGGATAAAAACCCCCAGGTAATTCATCAAAGTGGTCCAACTCATTCGGATGGAATTCAGACACACGTAGGATCATGTTCAGAATATACCATGGGAGAAGTTTTACGCTAATGAGTTCGAAGAAGCATGTGAATAAAACCCAATGGAGCAATGGTTATGATGCTTTTGTTCCGCCGAATATCATGTGATTAATGCTTACCAGAAACACAAGCCAGCATGATTTCTTGCCAGGATTCTCCCGTGGAACAACTACAAAAAGAGAAAATTACATACCATAAGTTACGGGCGGGTTTTATCTCAAGTTGAGATCATACGTTATTCGTTCCGATGACAGCCAGCTACTAATGCCGAACGCAGTTCAGACTTGTTAGCAGGTGGGGGTAAAAAGTACCGTGATTTAATGTCATTTGTGCTATAAGCGGATAAAAGGAAAAGCGTCTACTGATACAAGAGAGAATCAGGCTCAAGTCAGTCTGCAGCATGTGCTTTGAAAAGGAAGAGAGAAAGCGATTTTCAGTGCAGGTTGCGGAGACAACTGACAACGCCAGGAACCGTGTAGTTCATACAACAATAGATGCTAGTGACTTCAATCCTATAAGCGCGGCTTACACAGCTGGTGCAAAAATACGATGAACGATGAACAATTATTTACTAGGGGTAAAAACGCATATGCTTGACAAGTCCCGTAGAATGGTTGGAGTAAATGTTAAAATTTCAAAGATCATCGAGTAAGTAAATCGTCATTTTAAGCGCCTACTGAATTAACTGCACTAATGCATAACGAGAGTTTGTAATGTGAATGGAATGTGCGCACACAAATAGTATAGAGTTGTTATAGTTCACTAAGTGAGTGAGAAATAAAAATGAAAACGACAACGTTCACTCGGGTGTTTCTTCATTTGGAAGATGTTGTAAGTTAATCCAGTTTTGATACAACTATGCTACCCACAAGGACTCTTATGAATGTATCATCCCTGCCAAGTTGCGGAGAGGGGCATTAGGTACAAGGTTAGGTTTGCGTTGTTTCGTCCTCCGAGTGAAACAAACTACATCAAATAATGCAAGTTGGAAAGCGTATCATCAAGACGCTTTTTGTATAGCGTTGATGTACAGGCAAGGAGGACGTGAATCGGAAGTGCGTGTTAGGCACGGGACACAAAGAGAGAGAAAATGTTTTATCGACAGTCCAGTTGACTATAGTGCGTAGCCAGTTTGAGATGATGGCCTCGCAGGTTGGTATTTTCCACAGCTGCAACAGATTGTGGCGTGGGGGAATTAGGTTATATACATATATATATATATATATATATATATATATATATATATTGAAACCAAAGGTACTTTACCAGGGCATGATTAAAGTGAGCCTCTCACGTTCTAAGCTTGATTGCAGATCATGGGAAACGAAGGCGGTTGATAGGCGTGCATGGCGCGATCTGATCACGAAGGCAGTTACCGAGGTGCAGGAGAAAGCCCTCATGCATGCGGAGAAGAAGCGGCAAGTGCGGAAGCGGCAAGCAGCGATGGGTTGTACTCCAACGACATCAAACGCATGGTGCTGTAGCACATGCGGTGGCGAGTGCCTGAGTCAGGCAGGCTTAGTGAGCCATGAGCGAGGCCACTCGGGACTCCTACCGAAGCGACAACGGGTCCTGCAGAGAACGTAGGCAGCACCAGCGCAGCGTTTGTAGGTACGCTGCATCCGATTTATTAAGCGCGTGCTTGAATGCTAAGTCTATTTATTTCAGGCGGTGGGTTTGCAATTTTCTCCTAATGCTTTTCTTTTTCATGTAAATGTCCACCTGTACGCTCTTCTATAAACCTGCACAACTCGCTTAAGCCAATCGCTGTTAATTTTAATAACATTTTCGTCTTTGTGTCATTTCTGTAAAATATACTTTCTGACCTCCTGAACTTATCTCCGATCCTTTGTTAACAACTTATTTCATATGCTTGTTAATTTAAGATTTTTGTCACGTCTCCCTATGCAGTACTCTATTTATTTTCTTCGTTAGATTTCTCTCAAGTGATTGGCTATTGCTTGATATCCCCGGTGTGGCATTTTGACAAAGTGCCTACCTGTCTACTACCCAATACATCGTCCATACTGCCTCCAGGAGACAGTTGGTCGTTGCTGGAGGGGACAGGGTGCACGGTTCTTGTGGCCGTGCTAGGCTCAAAGAGCGGTTCCATGCACTCCGTTTGGAGCGGACTACGGTCCAGCCACCGCCTTGTGTGAGCTTGATTCCTCAAATACAGCGTGCTTGTGTTTGCCTGGGAAGGAGTGTGTGCCGGCTCCGTTGATGAAACGTGATTCCCATCCGCATGCCTCCCGGCCTTATTCCTTCGGGTTTACACTGGATATGGGGTATGTGGTTGGAGCTGTGGGTGGTGCAGCGCAAGTCATCCATGGTCCCTCTGTTGTCCCGAGGTCGCAACTGCCCCTGCCCAAGTCGATATTCATAGATAAGCTGATGGCGTACGGTCATGGCTTCGCACTTTCCCACGTTGAACTGGAGCAGATTTTCGGATGACCACGTATAAGCCCTGTGGAGATCGCTCTGCAATGCCATGTGATTATCCGCTGTCCTGATGCCAAGCCAAATTTTGTCATCATCTGCAAATAGTAAGAAATTCGACTGCAGTACACTATCAAGATCGTTATTAAATACTGGGAATAAACGTGCCCCAAGTACCGATAATTAGGGGACACCACACTGGACCTCAATTGGGTCGGAAATAGAGATGTGGACTCTCACATTCAGCTAACTTTGAGTAAGGAAGTTGCCGATCCAAGCGAGTAAAGTGTCACCGATTCCATAGTATGAAAGCTTGTGCAGGAGAATGTGGTGGTCCAAACGATCAAACGCTTTCGAGAAGTCCAGGTAGACAACGTCGACTCCCACGCTGGCATCGGATGACTCTGTCCAGCTTGCTCGGGCTAGAAGTAACTTTGTAGTGCAAGACCGATTTCGGCGGAATCCGTGCTACTCTGACACTAGTAGGTTGTTACTCTCAAGATATCCCATGAGAGCCTCTGCGATCATACCTTCCATTACTTTGGTTAAACTGAGAGGAGAGTGATTGGACGGTAGTTCAAGAGCTCCGTACGCTTACAACTTTTGTAGATAGAAGTGATTAGTCCATCGTTCCACATTGTGTGAACCTGCATTTCGTCGAGACAACGTTGGAAGTACCAAGCTAATGGTTCGGCAAGGTTCATGGCCGCTATTTTCAACGCCTCGGATTTAATGTCCTCTACGCCAGGTGAGCTGTGCACGCGCAATGACCTTACTCTATTCATCATAGCTGCTGTTGTGAACGTTATGTGGTTTGACCCTGGTAGCGATATCAGCTGTGTCGAAAGCGGGTGAAATGATGATACACTTTGGAAAATGTGGATGAAGTGTTGGCGAAGCATGTTGGCCGCATCTTGTGCAGTTTGTACCAGGCCATCTGTTGCACCTAAAACTGGGAGCCCGCGCTGCACCCTCCGGAGCTTTTTGACGTGTCTAGACAGAAACTTGGAATGTGTACGGGATTTCACCGGCAAGTTCTGTTGGTGCTGGAGTTTGTCTTCGCGAATCAACGTGACTCAGTGGTTTCGTTGAGTTGTGTAAGCAACTCAGATAAGGTTACTTAGACAGACTTTGTAAGCGCGCCAAGTTGAATCCCTTAAGGCCATGCATATTCAGGAACGAATTCAATTGCTTCGAGCGAAGGAGCTTGCTTTCTGACGTATTTGCCAGTAGCTCAGTGAATTGGATGACAAACAACATCCAGGCGACATCGGGCGGCTTCTCAGACAGGAATGACCAGTCGGTTTCTTGCACGAAGTTGGACAGTAGATCGTAATGTGTAACGACACAGGCTTCCACGTTGTTCTCACTGATGTGCTCCGAGTAACAGATGTAACGAAAGAGCCTCATCGCGTGGCTGCTACGACCAAGTGGTGCATCTGCGGTCATGGTGTCAACCAGTAGTTCCTCGATGGCGAGCACAGGGTCCAAGACAGAGGATGTGTCCCCCGTTCGGTATTGCGTGGCAGAAGTGACATGATTATACAGAGGCACATCGGCAATCACCTCTTGCAAGTTGGGCTTGAATTGTTCGCTGTGCGATGCTGGAACTTTGATTGCGTGCAGTTTGAAGTCCCTCACTAGAAGGACGTGACTGTGTGGTCTTGCCAGGAGTCGCTGCATCGCAGAAGCTAGACTGTGTTCCTTTTCCAAGGTGGACGTTGGAGGGGGGTAAACTATTGCTAGTAAACATACAGCAACACGTCTTAGGTGCATACGACACCAAAGAGGATGGATGACTTGCATTTCTGTGTCCTCAATGGTATCGACATGCAGGTCGGATCGATGACACAAAAGCAAACCGCCTCCTCTGCTAGGTCAATTGTTTCGTATGTACGTCATGCCATATAGTGCAATCACAGCATACGTGATCATGGGCAGCCATGTTTCGATGACAATATCTAGGTCCCAAGGCGTGGGGACTTGAGGAACACGAAGTTCGGTAACCTTGCTGTGAAGACCTTGTGCATTGGTATACAAGCATTGGTGGTCAGAAGCGTGTTTGTGAATGCTAGTTTCCGGTGAGGGTCTATGCCGACTCTTGGGAAGTCGGCTCCCAGTCTTTAGATTGTAACATCAAAAACGCAGGCCCTAGGGCCAGTTCACGTAGTTGTGCTGAGTTCTCAGCGCCAGTAAGAGCGTGACCATAAAGTAGAGGAGACAGTCCGTAGGATTCCACCGAAATACCCACAGGCGACGTCTCCAATTCCATTGTTTCCCTGCCCCGAACCTTCATCCAGACATCCACACATTCCCTCGCCACATGTTCTATCGATTGTCACTCAGCCCTTCCATCCTTCCATCGTATCCTCGTTCCGGACACATGTTCGTTGTATGAGTGAGTGTAGAATGGACTCATCATCCTACCCACCCGTGTTTCATGTACATTGTCCATTGGCTGATCGACTGACGATTGATCACTTCGTTGTAAACCACTCTGAATGACATTGGAAACGCTTCGCCTCGGTTCTCTTATCGGTTGACCGTTGCTGTTGTTTTGCCTGGCTTGACGACACGTTGCATTTGAGAGTCGAATTACTGTATACATTTTGGTCTGGATCTTGTCTGAGGTTGGTCATTAAATTGTTGTCTAATCATTTGTAATTAGCACCCTTGCTCTTTCGCCTTTGACCTTTGAATTGACTCGGGTGCGAATTGTTGCTCAAGTTCCGCGACCAATTTGTCGGTTACAGTGACTGTGATGTCCTAATTCAGCTGCCGGCGTGTTTTGGGATTGTCTCCGTGTTGATGGATTTGTATTGCTAAATTGCCTGTACAGTGTTACCTTGTCTATCTTTGGCCCGTGCTGTTGCCTTTATACGTATTTTGGATGGCAGAGTTGTAAGGATTTTTTGCCACATTTTGCTCACATGTTTCGCCATCAGTAAGGAGTGCAATGGTACTTTCATCACTCGAGGACCACACCCTTTGTAGTTAGGTGATAGTGGTAACCTTGATGTTGAATTAGCAATAACGCTTTCGTGTGATAGTACTTCACGAATAAAACGCCATTCATCCTAATCATGCGCTTTGGCTTCTAGCTCGTTTAAGGTCTGGAGTTCGGGGGCATCGTGAACAAGGTTAGCTTTTGCGTCTTATTGTTTACGTTAGTCAACTGGATTTTGTTTGCGTTTCTGACTTTCGCCCCAAGGAACATCTGTAGAAATTCGAACAGTGCATGTAGTGGTGCGAGTGGCTGACAAGAGAACTGCGTCAGCATCATTACCTGACTGAATTGGTACCTGGAGTAACCGCGGTTCACCCTAGTGTATGGAGTTTGGGTGACGTACCAGAAGCATCATATTGACTGGTTTAGCTTGAACCCCTATTAGTTGACACAGAGAGTCACACCGTTTCCTGTCGTCTAGTAGTTTATCTATTATGGAGTACGCCTGGGATTCAGTCGTCTTAGATCACATGACAACAAGAGAATTATGGTGTCGTAACATGTTCTCCTTTTTGGAGGGACCAGTAGCTGCTTTCTTCGGTTGGACAGCTGAGGAGGTCTTAAGTCCAGTGGAGGTATTGGTAGTATTAACTAGTTTGGTAACGAGCTGGGTTACAATGGGAGGTGTCTCTGTCATACGGGTAGCAACAACGGACGTGCATGTCGGCCCTTTAACAGTGTTCGATGTGGCGGGTGGTTCTGGTGAAGAATGTGTAGTGAGCGCAACTTTATGGGCAGCCGCTAGTGTCGGGATGACTAATGCTGGATCCTTACTCTTAATTTAGGCCCGGCTACACTGTTCTGGATTGGAGCTTGAGTTTTAACATCGAGTTCGAGGCACTGATTTGTCTGGTTCCTGTGGGACAACTTCCACGGCTGCTGTTTGCACTACAAGCTTTATCAGCCTATCGCATTTCTGCGCCAACACAGTTATACACCTGACAAGTGGAAGGGACGTACATTCAGTGCAGAACCAGAGAGAGTAGCGTACTATTAGGCTTTTTTATGTGGCTGAGACTAAGGCGAGCACTTCGACAATGGGAGTATTTTCGATAATTTCTGCATTCTATCCAAACTACGACAAGTTCAACGCAGCTGTCTGCGTTACAACTAACGTTTATTTCAGAAGCTTTAGACTTAGCTTCTCGTGGGCAGGCAGTACATGCCAGTGTGACTGGCGGTCCTGCGGATGTCGTTCGTTGCAACTTGCACACTAGTAAGCTAAATCCAAATGCTGTCGGCCAAGCTGGTGGTTTGGCTGACACAGGCTAGATTGCTGTAGAACAAATCCAAGATGGCGGACGCAGACGATAGTTGGGCCAGTCAGTGAGATCTCCGAAATTGCCCAGAGAACATTCAACAACTTTGCAGAGATGGAAAATACACCAAAAGTAATGTGTTGGTGCACAATTCACATAGAGAAAACACTTAGAACACAGTAATCCCCAAGCAAAAGTAGAATGCAGCACGGTAAAGGAAATATCCGCGGACTTCGTGGGTACAGCCAACACTGCGGATATATCGTGCAACACAACGTAGTAAAATAAATCCGTCAATGTGTGGTTTATTTGTAGGCCTTGTACATGCAGTCACGCAAATCACACTGCGGTGTTTGAGGTGAAATAGCCAGGCCAAAACAGCGAGGCGTGTCGATTTCCATACTCCATACTTAATAAGGTAAAGTATTTGTTTCGGCTTAATAGGTGTGAAATGATGTATAGCATTATTTTGATCTTGTTGTATCGGCACCGATTGTCCACACCCCACGACCGCATAGAGAATCCTAAGACGAGCCGGCATTGAGTTGTATCCACGAGATATCTGCTTCACCTAACTAGCGTACAGCAGTAGTTGAAGCAAGGCTGCTAAAACACGTTGGAGCCAAACATCAACATATGAGACGCTGGACAACACAAGCAAATAAAATGTGGTGAAACCCAGAGCCAATCACGCGAATTCGGGGTAACGGTATTAGCGGAAATAGAGGCGTGAGATAATTTCTATTACGAAAGACGTAGGCCGGCCAATCAAAGCAAAGAAATGATGAGTCTAAATAAATGTCAAGAAACAAACGATAGCGAAACGAAAACAGACCACTAAGGATTGCCATAAAATATATACGCCCAGTCTACATCCTCATAACAGATATGAAAAAGCTGTAACTAGGGGTTCCCTCGACCTCGGCTGTCCACACGGGAGCAGTGCAAACATGATGGGAACAGCTGTGGGTTAAGAAGCATTGGAGAGAGCAACCTGAATAGTGCCGAGTTTAGGGTTTGGTTAAAATGGTGAAACCACATTTTGTGACAGTGTTGCCGTAGTGCTGCGAAATGCATGTGAGAGTACACGACTCCGCAATGTCAGAAACAAACCATTTTCCATCAATAAGAAACCCTATGAATAATGAGGTAAACCAGTAGAGGCACAAATCGTGGAGTACCCACAGCTTCATTTGACTGCTCATTAACTGTGAGGTTATGCGGAGCAATTGCGGATCTATAGAGCCAGTGAGAGAAAATGATGAGAAATGGGTAACAGGAATTAGGCACTGAGGAAGTGAACCATAGTGGAACCCAAAATTAATTTCCATATTGGGTCCACCTAGTAAATGGTAATGAAATAAAAATAATGGGAATTTCAAAACTTTCCAAAAACGTCTATCTATTCGGAATGATATAATGTAGCTTCATTAATAAAACAACGGTAGCGCACGTTTGTGTTCAAGGTCCAGTACAATGGAACAACGGATCAGTGTGGAAATTTCCTCGGGAATACAAAAGACTGAACAGTGAACGCAGTGTGTATGCTTACCGGAAAAGCACCAACAACGCATGGAAAAAGTTTTGAAAATTGTTATTTCTGTGAAGGGGTGGTAAATCTTCCTCTTCTAGTGGGTTTTCGGCAATTGAGATTTGCCCAAAAAGTTGCATCCCGATCACAGCGTAGATAAAAAAAATCATGGCAATTAGTAAAGCCACATACGGCAGTGCCTGAGGGAATCAAAACGGAAGAGACTGGGTTAAGAGTATCGGAAGAAGGACAGTAGTTTTGGGGGTAAGCGTTGTAGTCCATTTCGCAACAGCCTTTGTTTGGAGCCTTTAATGTTGTATCACTTATTGCAGTATACATGTTAAACTTCGAAGCGTAATTCGTTTCGAAGAAAACAGTTTTTGCACCCTAGGCTATTGTCATAGGACCTAGCTTCACACTCATGAGTAGGTGGCGAATGCAGCAAATTAATTCCTCATAGCAAATGTGGAAATCATGTGAGTTGGACGCGGACCGTTGGATTTCAAATTTAAACTGTACAAAACTAGTAAAATTAAGATCAAGCTCATGAAGACTCAACGTTCGCTATCACTATCGTATCCTGCCAATGCTCATTATTACAAATGGGGAAAGCGGACCATCTAAAGATGGGCAGCGACGTAACACTTAGTTGAGATCGCAAACGGGAGACACACACTCACCTGTATTGATTTGATAAAGGTCCATAAGAGCTGTCGGATTGACTCTTCTTTGCTCAGAAGTTTCACTAACCGCATCACCCGAAACAATCGGAAGAAATTGACGCTAAATTTTGTCGATTTAAATTCTGACTAAAATTTGCAGCAATGAAAGTAATGTAAGACAACGACAGGCGTTCCATAACAAAACATGGCTGAATTTGTAATATTATGAATACCAAAGTTCTTTGGCTACCGCTTGTCAATAGGATAAAATTGTGGATCCGAAATGGACTTCGTTCCACTCATGGGTCACCAAAGGTTTGAACGAAATGGGTGACGGTAAAAGCAGGTTAGGTTGTTGCAAAACAAGTCTCGACAATTAACAGATCATGCCGAGGTCAAAAGCAAAACGAGCGGAATGTCACTTTTTAAACGTTTGCTCAGCTAGACGAGGGCATGCACACGTTAAACACGTGTAAGAATGAGGAAGAACGGAACATGTAGTGCGACCACAGAAATAGCTGTAATCAATCGATTCTAACCGAGAGAAATCAACGTATCAACATATTGTAAGCACATATCTGAGCTATGGGTTCGGCGATCTACGTTCAGTATAAACGCTGACAAGAGGTGTTGAGAGAAATCGTCGATTGCATTAGAAAAGTAAAAGAAGCTCCACGGTTTGGAAATCGTATACAAATATGCTTCCATCTAAGGGAAGCGATTATGTTGCCTATTCAAAGGTGGCGTCATCTAACGTCCGTGGTAAGAACCGCGGCACTCAGATACCGCGGTCAGCATGGAAACAATAGGATAACCACGTGATCTCCTGACATTATGATTGCCGACACCGATAAACCTGATACGGGCCGCTGCCCTGGAATGGACACTAACGGATTGTCCTATGCGTCTCTCTTCCGTGTTGACGAAACGCGGCTTCGAGGTAATCGGGCTAATATGCACTATGCAACTATTTTATGCAAAGACTAATTGCCCCCTGAACCACTGGCTGTCTGGAACCATCTTTAGACCCGACCATACAAATTTGCATGCAATCAGCCAGTCATGGTTCTCTCCACATGAACCCCCAAACTACTGACACACCACGCCGCGTTGGCTCACCGCTTCTCACTAGGGTCAGTTTAGTGAGTCTGGTTAATTGCCACACAGAATTATGATTTATTGCTCATACAGACACCCTTGTTCCGCAGCTCGAGTAGTGTTGCATATACATAGTACACACCATGCTCGTTTCCACTGACTTTGGAGTGGTCTTCGATTCATTCAACCGCTGATTACAACTCATCAGCTTTCCACATAATTTCTTTTCAATTCTGTGGTATCTATGCAGCGTTTTCTTTGAACTAGTAGAGGTTTGCAGAAGTCCACAAGTCAGAGAGTCTGTGTTATCATATTTATCACCACGTTCTTGAGTAGGTGACCGAGGTATCTATCTGTCGAGGTATATCTCTTGCCAACTTCCTCTGAAGTACATTTGGACCGCCGACTGGTTAACGCTGAATGTGCGCACGGTATAACTTTTATACTTTGACCCATTCCGTATATATATCCGTTGAATTGGATGACACTAAGTGCTTCTTGTTTTTGTGAATGCTTTATGCTTACTGTGTGCAAGTTACAATTGTCAAATTTGGAATGGGACCCGCGACAATGATGGTAGTTCATTTAGAGCATAAATTGATTGACACATTCCAGAGAATACGCATGCAGCAGGCACATAGACACCACAGACTTCAGTGACTAGCTGGCTCTTTGTAACAGTTCAGTCGAACGACTAAGGGTCGTACGCTGGAGTGTACGGCATACAGTTGGATTGGTTAGAGATCCCAGGGTCTGAAAACAATAGCGGAGAAAACGTGGGAAAACCAAAAGACAACAAAATGGCATTCAGATAGAACGTTTCCTTATGAAATGTTGGATGCAAGTATTAACAGTTGCAACTCTTCCACCAGTTTTCGATTGTACGATTTCGGATAGACTATGGGGCCAACGATGCACCGGATCCCGAATCCCAATCCAGGAGGATGTCATGCACCAGTGCTTCAAATGGTTACTGGGTGATGTCGATGATTAGCGGTTTCCATTCCAATCTGACAATTGTAACTTGCACACAGTAAGCACAAAGCACACACAAAAACAAGAAGCACTTAGTGTCATCCAGTTCAACGCATGTGTATACGGAATGAGTCAAATTATAAAAGTTATATCATATGCACATTCAGCGTTAACCAGTCGGCGGTCCAGATGTACTTCAGAGGAAGTTGGCAAGATAGTCGTACACAGATACCTCAGTTACCTACTCAATAAGGTGGTGATAAATATGATAACCCATACTCTCTGACTTGTGGACCCCTTGTGGAACCCCTACTAGTTCAAAGAAAACGCGGCATAGATACCACAGGATTGAAGAGAAAGCTGATGAGTTGTACTCGGCGGTTGGATGTATCGAAGACCATTCCGAAGTCAGTGGAAACGAGCATGGTGTATACTATGTATATGCTACACTACTCGAGCTGCGGAACAAGGGTGTCTATATAAGCAGACTCACTAAACTGACCCAAGTGAGAAGCGGTGAGCCAACGCGGCGTGGTGTGTGAGTAGTTTGGAGGTACATGTGAAGAGAACTGTGACTGGCTGATTGCATGCAAATTTGTATGGTCGTGTCTGGATATGGTTCGCGACAACCAATGATTCAGGGGCAATTAATCCTTGCATAAAATCTTTGCATAGTGCATACTGACCTAGCCGGATTACCTCGAAGCCGCCTTTCGTCAACACCGAAGAGAGACACATAGGACAATCCGTTAGTGTCCGTTCAACGGCAGCGGCCCTTATCAGGTTTGTCGGTGTCGGTAATCGTAATGTCAGGGTGTGGTCACGTGGTACCTTCTTGATCAGCGGATGATTGTGACAGAACGGGCTCGCTGTCTTATTCTTTTAAATGGTTGACACAACCGATGGGTTAAGTTATCGTTATTGCCAGCTGCCGCTGTACCCACTGACGCTTCTCGTCGGTCCCATAATGCGTATGTGCTGCAGCCTTATCTGTGTTCCGAATAGCCTGCTTCCTCTGTTTCACGGACATTAGGAATTAAGCGTGGATAACAAGTTTTTACAACTCTTCCTCCGAAGCTTGGAGTATGCACACAATGAGAAATAACCAGTCCGCTTTGAAATTGTTTTAACCAACATTGTTCGCGATTATTGTAGCCCAGGGAATTCGCTTAGAAATCAGACACTTAGAATTCGAGAGGAGAGGGAAATCACTGTAAACACCATTGGCAGTAGCATTAGTAAGCACAGCGCAATACGATGAATTCGTGACGGTTATGTCCAGTCTCAAAAACATGAGGCAGATGTTAATCGGAAAATAAACAACATTTTGAAGATCAGAGAATGCACATAAAATTGGGATATCCCCATGGCACGCACATACATATACAGAAGAAGCTGTCGAAAATAAGCACACAAGGCTGGCGTAGTGGGACAGTTAGCAGCGCAAATGACGGCACATAAAGAGACGTGCAGACACGTACATGCCTGGTTTTCAACTTACAACGGTTACTGTGTTCTAAGCGCGTAACAGCAAACGATGGAACAGTTGAACTCAAGCAAAAGATACGAAATACAACGCGATAGAAAGGATTGTGGAAATAACCAATGATACTGGATGGAAGGGAAAACAGCTCCTCTTGGCGTTGTACCCTGTGAATGCTTTTACTCCTGTTTGAATTAGTCAGGTCCAAGTTAGATTAGAACATGCGCATTTCTCGGTACCACAATCCAATCGATGTCCAAGACGGGTCAAAGGTGGGTCAAGAATTGTACAATGAACAATGATTTATTACGGGATAAAAGCAAGTGCTTGACACGTCCCGTAGGATGATTGCGGTGAATATGATGAAATCAAAATATATCTGGGTCATCTATTGAGCGTCTGATAATTAACATCAGTGCAAAATGAAAAAATTATCCAGCGTGAACGTTCAGAAAGACACTGGGGTGCAGTGACCATTGAGGTAAGGAGTGGGAAAAGTAAAATATGGTCGCTCACTTGGGTCCATTTGATACATAAATCCTGTTGAAAAGCATGCTTGGCGTAATCCACAATAGAGGAGTTTAGGTAACAAAATGTTGGGAGCTAAGACCAACGTCTAGTCGATTTTTGAAAACATCCAAGGTAGGAGAGGATACAACTGAGTCTGGGGGTGTGTTCCAGGGTTGGCAAACCCGAAGGGAAAAGTAATTTTGTCGACACTCTAGACGGTTATATTCTTCCATCAAATTTAAGCAGTTACCTCTGAGCTGAGTGTTGTGGCTAAATTTCAGCAAATGGCGGCATCCGTGGTTGGGGTCACTCAATACCTGATACGCTAATATGAGATCGCCGCGCAGTCTTCGATAGCGTCCGCTGAAAATCCCCAGCAACTTCAGCCTTCGGTGGTAAAAGTGATAGTGCAGGCCCTTTACGTTCTTTGTTGCTCTTCGTTGTGGTGCTTCTAACGCTTCTAGGTCGCGCTTCAACCAAGGTTGCCAAGCTTGGATAGCCTATCCAACATGCGGGCGCACGTAGGAATTGTGCATCATTGGGAAGATTGATGGATCAAATCTCCCGAATGCCCTTCGCAGCATGCCGACGTGCTGGTTGCCTCTTTTCGCAGCTACTCAGCCTGTTTGGAACAGTTGAGGTCGCTCTGCACGATCACACCAAGGTCACGCTCCTGGGAGCTATTCTGCAATCCGTTTGTCCCAAGCTAATAGGTGTAGTTATGTCTATGGCACAATTGTACAACGCGACATTTGTCTACGTTGAATGGTAGGGCGTTTTGAACTGACCAGTTCGATACTGTGTTAAGATCGCCCTGGAGCCGTTCGTTATCTTCCGGTCCTCTGATCCTTCGCCATATCTTGATATCATCAGCGAAAAATAAGAAATCGGAAGTAATTGATCGCACCAAATCGTTAATGAACACCAAGAATAGACGAGGTCCAAGAACCGAGCTTTGTGGTACTCCACACGCCACATCGATTGCATCAGACAAGGATTCTCGGACTCTCACCATTAGCTGTCGTTCATGTAGAAAATTACCAATCCAACTCAGGATTGGGTCAGCAATGCCATAATTCCGAAGCTTCTGAAAGAGAATGCGATGGTCTAAGCGATCAAACGCTTTTGAAAAGTCCAGGTAGATGACATCGACTCCTACTCCATCATCAACAGCTTCAGTCCAGCTATTACGTGCAATTAATAAGTTAGTATTACACGAATGCTTTCGAAGAAAGCCATGTTGCTCTGGGGCTATTAAATTGTGGCTTTCCAGCGATTGCATCAGCGTGTCTGCGATGATTGGTGCCATCACTTTGGATAGTACGGGAAGTAGTGTTATTGGATCGTAGTTGGCAGCATCAGTGCGGCTGCCTCCTTTATGGGTAGGACTGATGATCAATTGCTTCCATACTGGTGGAATACGGTTCTCTTCTAAACATTGCTGTTAGAAAACAGCCAGTGATTCTGCTAGATCACTAGCTACCGCCTGTAGAGCCTTCGGTTGGATGTTTTCAGCTCCTGGAGAACTGTGGATATGCAAGGATAACAACTTTCTCAACACAGCTTCCGCAGTGAAGGCGACGTTTTCTAAACCAGATGGGAGAGTATTAGAAGTGAGGAGAATATTTGTGTTCGTTACCTGTCGGAAAGTTTGGAAGTAATGAATTCGCAGGAGATCAGCTGCTTCCATTGCTGATCGCGTGCACCCATCAGGCGTGACTAGCGCTGGAACTCCTCGTCTCACCTTTCGAAGGTCGTTAACGTGCCTGTACAGGAGTTCGCGGTTAGTGCAGAATCGCTTCATTAACTGCTGCTGATGCCTGACCTTGTCTTCGCGGATCAATTTCACACAGAAGTTACGACGTGTCACGTATGCAGTCCAGGTTTCGACATTCAGGTAGTCCTGGTGATCTCGCCATGCCAAATCCTTCCGGGACATACGTTTACGTGTTCTGCTCCTCAGAAATGACTTGCACTTGTTTTGGGGCTGGAAGGACTTATGTTCTGATGCGTGCGCAACCGGTGTACTAAACGTCTTTGTATATGTTTCCTAGGCAACATCTGGGGGGCATTCGATTAAGAAAGTCCAAGATGTATCCTTAACAAGCTTAGACAACACATTGTAGTGTGTGACAGTATGCACTTTATCTTCATCCTTTTCAGGATACTCAGCATAGCATATATAGTCAAAGAGTAGAGCAACATGACCACTACGACCCAGTGGTGTGCTTATAACTATCCCGCTAACCATGAGTTCCTCGTTAGTGAGCACAAAATCCAGTATCGACGGCTTGTTAGCAGTTCCAAATCTGGTGGGAGAGGTTACGTGGTTGTAAAGAGGGTGGCTATCAATAAGCTCTTGCAAGCAGGCTTTAAACTGCATACCGTCGGTTGCCAGCGTTTCTATGTCGTGCACATTAAAGTCTCCAGCGATAAGAATGTGGGTGTAGGACTTGTTCAAATCAAACTGAAAAACGTGGTTCAGTTTGGAGTTCATTTCCCACGTTGAGTTTGGTGGACGATAAATCACGGCTAGTAGACATGTGTCCTTATTTTGCAACCATACGCGGCACCAAAGCGAATCAGGTGCTCGGATTTCCTGGTGATCGATAACTTCACATCGGAGGTTTGTATTATGGTAAAGAATCACACCGCCACCTCTTCCGGTCCTATCAGTCCAAAGCAGTGACACACCGGGTAAATTGATCTCAGAATCGGTTATCTCAGAGTTTAACCATGTCTCTGTAATCATGACGAGGTCCCGCTGTTGTGAAGCATGGAGTTCTCTAAGTTCGGCCAACTTGCTTAGAAGGCCCTGGGCGTTTGTGTACATGCAAGATAGAGCTTTTGTTGTTAGGAATTCATTGACAGATGTCAAGTTTGTGTTAGTTCTTAAGCCAGCCGTTGGGTGGTCGGCCATCAATTGTTTTTGGTCTATGTGTTTCAGTCGTGTTGCATGGCATTTTGAGCGTTGCTGAACAGTTTCACTCGTGCTGTGCTCGGTCCTCCTGCTTGCCGTGGGCGCGGTTGTGTCGGTCTCTCCGCAGGACTGTGCAAATAAAGAATTTGTAGCGTTTGCAAGTACCATCGATTTGCTTCCGACTTTTGGTCGTTCGCCTGCTGCCTTTAGCCGGATCTCTGTTGGCAACCTAGCTCGAAACTTTAACTAGCTATCCAACTGAACTTGCGTCATTCCCTCGGAGTGTAGTATTACTTTCATTAGCCTTGGACCGCAGCCCTTGTAGTTAGGTGATGACGAAACTCTTGTCAAGGATTTGGCAATAACATTGTCAACAGAGAGTGCTTCGCGGATGTAGCACCACTGCTGTCGGTCATATGTTTGTACACCGTGATCAGAAGAATGCAGAAGCACAGGAACACTATGAACAAATATTGTTTTCTTGCTATCCCTATTAGCAGTGCCGCGTTGGTCAAATACTTCTTTTGGGCGATCTTTCCAAGGTAGATCAGGTAATATGCGCATTCTGCTCGGTGAGTTGCGAAGACGAACTGCTGAGAGCAGGACAGCCTCTGTCTCATCTGCTGAGTTTAGTGTTACTCGAAGAATTCGAGGTTCACCAAAGTGCATTGAGGTCGGGTGACGCGCTACGCGTTGCAGCATTGCAGGCTCAACCCGAATGCCAATCGTCTCGCAGATGGAACTCCACTGGTTGCGATCGTCTTGCAACTTGCCTTTTATTGTGCCAGATTTGGATTCGGAAACATTGGTGCAGACAAGAGTTAACGCAGGGTGGTTTTGTCTAGCGAGTGTTGGCTTTATATTTTTTGCCGGCAATTCCGGTTGTTTAGAGTGCACTATTGGAGTTGACGGTAAGAGCTGCTTTGCACCACGTGTGCTCGGTACTGAAGATGGACTTATGTGTGTCCCTCCCGATGTGTTTGTCGAGGCAACTGATGCGTACGTTACCTGCTTGTTATCTGCACCGGATTTCCTAGGGCTCTGAGCTGTCGGTGTCATGGCTGAATCTCCAAGTGAAGCGGCTATGGTTGGAGAAGTGGAAGCAGGCATGTTTGAGGCTTGCTCACTTATGGGAGTGAGGTGATCCAGTGAGTTTAGAGTCACAGGCGCTGCAGTGCGGTTGGAGCGTCTAGCTCTTTTCTTCGGTTTAAACTCAGAGCTTCCTTTGGCCGGGTGAGGTATTATCGTGGCCATATTTACCTCCGAGGGAGCGATCTTAGTATTTACAAATTGCGCGATGATTTCAGTCATCCTATCGCATTTTTTCATGAGCAAAGTTAAACAGCTGACAACCGGGATGACTTGACATGTTGGGCATAACCAAATTGTGTCAGCAACTTGGTTTGTCTGTCTCACTTCTTGGACGGATTTGCTTACACATTGCGGACAGTACGAGCTAATGCAACTAGAACAAGTAATACTGATCTTAAGTACTTTACTGCAGTTGTCTGCGCAACATAGGCGACGTTGAACAATTGGGATGCTAGTCGTCCTCTTATTGTTTACAGCAAAGTCTATCTAAGCGCTCACTTTGATGAGTGTACTTTGCACTAAAGTGTAACAGTACCGAAACCGGCCTTGGAGTGCATTGTTGCGTGCGAGCAACATCCAGTGATTACCTGACACTAAAGTTGCTTGAGCACTGCCTGAAGCTGTGGAATAAATCTTTGTATTGATGGCAGTGCCAATAACGAAATATAGTGTGTGATATTTTCAACACCACAGGGTAAGTGTCATGTCTTGATATTTACTGTTCATCATTTACATAGCAGAACATAGCATCCGGGTTGTGGATCAGACGCGTTCGGTGAGCTATTTGAGACATATGTGGTGCGTATTGAAGATACTAAAGAACAACTTCAGCATTATACAAATATATATTGGATCATGCAGGAGCAAACGATGAAGTGCAATAGGAGCTACTCATGTATTGCGACGTCAAAACTTGTTGTCGTGAATCGAAGCTCACAGACCGTAAAAGTAAAAGAGGGGTGTAGTACTCGATTAAATAGGAGTCATATGCCATTAAGAAATAAGCAAGTACTGTGTAAATGCATAGCTGTTAAGCAGATAAAAATGCTATATTCCATAACGTCTTTGTTCCAGATAGGTTGGACAAGGGTAAAATTACAGATATGATAACAATTGAAGAACTAATAGATTAATAAAGTATCCAGATAGTAACAATGAGAAACAGTTCAGAGTTAAATTATTGAGTCAGAACCACATAAATATTCTTGGTAAGGGAGGTTAAATTGGAAATGGTTTAACGAACGTTCATTCAATGGGGATTGTCATAACTACTTGTACTACACTGATATAGAAAGATAGAAGTATACTATTCCATCTGAACTTTTAAGTAGTCTTCAGTATCTTTTTGTTCAAGCGTTTCATGCGTTCTTCGGTCTATCTTCACATAAATTGTTAACAGAAATAACAGTCTCCGTCGTGTGTAGTGGATTTAGAACCGTCCCAGAGTCTTATATTTTACTCGTGATACGGCGCGCGGAAAACTGTTTCTATAATCTCCGGCGGTTTTCCAAACAAACAGACACACAACAAAAGAACTAAACCGCATGTTTTGCGTGTACCTCCAACGAGTTCCTCCAACGCGTTGTTAAACCCATAAACCATCGACTTTGACTGAACCACAGTTACTTGATAAGACCCTGATGGTGGGAAAGAGAAGGACTAAATCCATTCTCATAACAATCAACAAGGATGTTTCAGCGGGAGTCTGGAACATTGTTTGAAATAACCGAACTACGTAGAGGAGCTTAACAGATGCCCGGTAAATTGTACTCTGGCACAACCCTACTGGTGTTCTATGAGTTAGTGAATGTCCGAGAGCAGCACTCGTTTAAGTGCAACGCAAAATTTGAGGATCAGAATTCCTGAGTAGGCCAGTCTAGACATTTTTGAAATTAATCCGAAGTATACCTAGTGAATACTGATAAAGAGCATGTTTGTCACACATTTTGTAAAAAATGCTACATTCGACTTTGACAAATTTCTCACTGACAACCAGCTAGAAATGTCGGTGTACACAGCTTACCTGGGTCACGATTATGTCGATGTAGCTTCCAAGGACCAGAATGAAATCAACCACGTTCCAAATGTCACTGAAGTAATGCTGTGATCAAAATAGCATTTAAATCATAAGCAGTAGAATTAGCAGTTGAATGGAAGTGTGAACACAGTATCATCAGGATAAGACATGTGCACGGGCAATTCGCTAAAAGTAGATGTTGATTTAGCTGTAGTATAAGGAAGGGATGTTTCTAGTACTTGCTGGCCTCAGTTACTCGCTCAAAGTGGTACGTAGTAAAAGACTGGTGTATATCCAGCAACGAACAGTATGGCGAAATACATTTAACTACTAACTATTACTACTGCAGCTTATTAACCCATTTGTGCCTATCGTTCCGTTGTCGGAACAGCGGTCACGTGTCGGTTCTTATTAGCGTACTCATCAAGGTCGACAACGCAGTCCGCTTTATCACTTCCGCCTGACTCGTGGGTCTCTATAGTACCGCCGCGTGCACGTGATTAGTCAGTGATGCCGATTCAGATCTGCATCGATGCTGCAAACCACTGACCTGTGTTTTAGAGACGTTTTTCGCAGAATCATTCCCACACATGTAACTATATCTTTAGTATATTAGGTCCTACGTTTGCCGTTGCCGTTGTGGTCAATGTCATAATAACGCCACGTTTCGATGTAAAAAAAATTCCATATTGCCTTACATGTGAAGTGTTCAATTGAATATCACACATGGTTGGCGGCATCTGGTTTCGGATTCGCCTGTCACTGTGGCAAGCCACAGGACGCCTGCGCCACCAGAGGGACCATGGGTGGCTTGCGCTGCACCACCCACAGCTCCAACCACACACCACATATCCAGGATAAACCAGAAGGAATAAGACCGGGAGGAAGGTGGATGAGAGCCACGTTGCATCAACAGAGCCGGCCCACACTCCTACACAGGCAAACACAAGCACGCTGTATTTGGGGAATCAAGCGTACAATCAAGGCGGCGGCTGGACCGTAGTCCGCTCCACACTGAGTGCATGGAACCACTCTTTGATCCTAACACGGCCACAAGGACCGTGCACCCCGTCCCCTCCAGCAACGACCAACTGTCTCCTGGAGGCAGTATGGACGAGGTAGTGGGTAGTAGACAGGTAGGCACCTTGTCAACATGCCACACCGGGGATATCAAACAACAGCCAATCACTTGAAACGATATGATGAAATAAAATAAATCCAATAATGCACAGAGATACGGTGACATAACTCTTCGCTAAATTAGCATATGAAGTAAGTTGGTTAGCAACCAATCCGCGATAAGTGAAAAATGTCCACAAGTTACTTAAAAATGCTACAAACGCAGCGAAGTTATCGAAGATAGGCGCAATTAGCGTTAAGAACGTGGCCAGTTACTAGAAGATTATTCAGGTAGGCAGAACAAACCAACTAAAGTGAAATGAAATTTATCCAGCTTAGAAAGACCTAGTTTAAGTTGCTTTAGCCTAACTGCGTTAAAGAAGCAGCAAGAATGCAACATCAGCCACAGCACAGTAGTAGTTACAAGCATATTCAGACAAAAACAGCATTTTATATACTACGTCACAAAATGACAATTGTTTTGCCTAGTGATCTATTTTTGGAATGCCTCAGAACTCAAAAACTGGACAAAAGTAAAAGTTTTTTCAAATGCTTCTTTTTATATTAGCATACCTAACATATATGAATTTAATGCCAAAATTCACGATGTCCAACCTCCGGCACAAATGGATTCATGTAGTTTCCTTGTTTTAAGTACTATCTGAAGAGAACTCGAGGCGTGATTTTGTGGTGGCTTCACCCATATTTAGCTATTGACTTTAGTCAATTTGCCAATTTCCGCAAACAAACAAATAATTGATGACGGATAATCTCAGGCCAATGGGATACAACGTAACTAGAAACGATAGCTAATTGCCTCCAGTCTACCTCTAGCTATGTGCAGTTAATTACCCCACAAAACTCACCCGAAAACTGAAGGCGGATAAACGAAGTACGAACTCAACGGTGAAAACCGCGGTGAAGAAATAGTTGAACGAGTCCAAAACTCTACCCAGCTCCTTCTTCTGCCCATCGTACTGAGTGAAAAGTAAGAAGGAATAGAAAAATTGGAGCGAAATAATAACTATACCATGTGCCTAACAAACCTTGTTGACAAAAAAAGCGACCGACAGTTGGAACTCAGGAACAAAGCCTCTGTCCGAATTTGAGACAGTGAGCTGCAACATTGGCTCTCGTTGTACGCATTTTTCATCTGGTTTATGGATTTCGCGTAAATATTCGTCAGGTTACTTTAGGTATAGAAAACTTATTTCCCAGGTACGTGCACATAAGAGCAGAGACAGGCGTATGGAAGCAAATATATAGTCGAAACAACCAAGGAACATTGAGTACCAAAACAAGGAGCGTTATCTTTTAGCTTTGATGTGAGTGCCGCTGGCAGCGCGGTGAGACAAAGGTACTTACTGCCAAGATCAAGACCAGGTGGACAAGGCGGAAAACGGAATACCGCTTGTGGATCTAGTGATGTTAGAATACTAAGGACAGTCATTCCAAGTAACGAATAATAAATGATGCATTCTTTGGTGCCTCCCAGAACTAGTTTTATGGTTAGTTTTAGCTACGGGAAGAAACTTGCCAACATCGCCAAAGTCGAATAAATTTAACATAAGCTTCACTGTCGGGAGTTCGATACCACGCTGTAAATTGTCACTCGTAAGGTCTTAAGGTGTGTACTTATAACGTCAAGCGTTATGCTCCAGTATTGGCGCTTGCCACCGTAACCTGCAATTATTGGGTCTGTGTCAAACTGTTTACAACTGCACGCACTCGGGCCGTAATGACTCATGTGCTGGATGTTTGTTGCCCATTTATTACTCATCCAGCATTTTTGCGTGGACATTTGTTGTCGATCAAGTTGACATGCGCAACCGCCACAAATCTTGGCAGTCGAAACCAGTCAAGTTACTAAGCGGTTATTATTTCTGACGAGTCCAGCTGTCGTGTGAATGATGCATTTGTTTACAAATCAGATAAAACAGCTCAAATCAATCCTCTCCATATGGTTCTGACCAAACAGCTGCCAAGATGATGCAGCAGATGGGAGATGCGAACGAGGAGATACTTTCGAAAAGCATTCAGCTGGAAGAAATAAGCACAACGTCTGAGGTTGTTCGCCACTTCGAACAATCACACTCCCCTAATACGCTGGTAAGTTGAACGATTACTTTGATCAAAAACAGTGAGTAATCTGTATTCCAATCAACTCAGCTCAGGTTAACTGATTGGATAAGACTGGAGTACCAGGTAACCTGAGTTAAATCACCAAGTTAGGAAACTGATCAAATTGGAATAAAAGTTAGAAAAAGCTGAGTGCTAATCAGAACAAAATTAAGATAAGAGCAGGCGAATTATTGGAACGAAGTGAGAGGCGAATAGGAACATTAGACCAAATTAGAAGGAAATCACTGACAAACAACCTGGCCATATCAGATCGGATACAAACGACCATGTGAAAAATCTCGAAGAGTCTATACCTAACGATAGAACGCATTTGCATGTGTGGTAAGTTACCTGATGACAAACATCGTACTGCTAACAGTACAGGTACTCACCTTCAGTGTTAAAGCCACGGTATTGATAAAGATGCAGATGAAGATAAAAATTTCGAATTTTTTCGATACAACAAGGGACCATATTTTGTACTGGAAATGTCCTTTCGGAATGTACCGTCGACGGGGTCTTGCTTTGAGCGCGTACTCAATACATTTTCTCTTAAATTTGGAGGTGGAACATGGATCGGAGACAAGATCGAGAGATTAGACCTCTATGAATTGAAAGATGATATCCAATCGCACGGAAGCATATTAGAGGACGGAATAATGGAACCTTGAACTGCACTGGATTGCAAGCGACCCAAGAAAGCGGTGCTGTTTTCACAACTTTTAGTAATAAAAATTTTTTAAAATATATGTGCTGGCATTCAGAAACAGCTGGGTGGGGAAATCATCCGATGTGACTATATGCAAGACCTCGATCGTTAATGACCTAAAGCAAGATGGCAAATTTGTCAACAGCTGTGGAGTGCAGAGAATAAATAAATTAGTGAGATGATTGTGCATAGATTCCCTACTTTCTATCCATAATGCAAGCGTCAGTAAGGCGATTTTTACCAAATGACCAAATGTACGGTAAAACGTACACCTGAATGCTACGCACCATAGGAGATACCAGCTATGGAAGCAACGCAGTAACAAATCAGTCAGATTCCGAGAACTGAGAGCTCCAGGTTGAGCAAGCAATCTGATTGTGGAAATGGCGATTTTCCGCATGAGAGCAGGCTTATGAGTGATAGGACTATTCATTTAAAAACACGACTTACACCACTACCTGGAAGAGACGATAGTCATATCATTGGGCTGCAGTTTAACCTGCCCAGATTATAGTTGCCAAAGTGGTTAAAAAATACCTAGTAAATCTTTAAAACGGTGTATTCTGTCATTGGTTTCAGCGGTCAGGCTATGGTTTGATCAACTAAAAGTAGGTGTAAATTCTACTTATGAAATCACCTCATTCTCACCTGATTTTTATCCAATTCACAGTTAATGTACTCTGATTCGCCCTCACGTTGAAAAGTGACGATGACAAAACCGACGAAAATGTTTATCATGAAAAACGGAATGAGGATAATGTAGGTTATGTAGAATACGGCCACAGTAGGACGGTAATTTGTTATTGGTCCATAGCCTTCCGCGTTGGAATCGATTGAGGTAGAGAGTAAACTGTAAAGAAGCAACAGCGTGAGTTAAACGAGCAGGCAATCCATAAAGGCACTATATTTGACTTGTACATCACTTTACTTGGTACAGTGCAATGAAGAGGTAACTGGGTTAATGAGAAGTATGTCGCATAGCCTAAGTTTACTCGGAATTACATCATATTTCAACCGACGAAAAGTACATGGGTTTCGAAAACACATCACCGATCTATCTTATCGTCAGCCGAGCCTCATCTTGTGACCACCAACTCACTACTGGACAATAAAATTTTGTCCAAATCAGCAGTAGATAAGCAGTTCTAACACAGGCGGGTCCAAGTTGCGTTCCACAGTTTTAAGGGAACCCATAAAGATAGTCAAAACTCAATGTTAGCAAACATATGTTTTCGATAATTCTTCATCAGACTAACACAAGTATATACCAGTTACATCGAGTAAACAGATGATGAGCTATCCTACTGGTAGCGTCCGTCGTTAGAAATACACAGCCTAGTATCCTACGCCCAAATTCTTGTGAAGCTTCACAAATGTAAGAGTCCGAGGCAACACTTGGTGTGCTTTGTTGCGAACTCACACCTTCTAACATCTGACGCGCTTGAAAAAGAGTTCTGCACACATATTTGAGATGAAGTTACCGGGAATGAGAACTGTTATGGAATTCTCAAACGGATGACTCATTCGGAAAGAACCAGCCGAGAATAACCAGCTGTTTGCTTTACTGTGTTCACATAAAACTAACTGCGGGAGATAGCCAGCATAAGTAATTATACGCTGAGTGTAGCGGGACTAATTTACACCTGAATAGGACAGTTCTATCGCACAGTGTTTGTTATGTTTAGTAGCAGATAGACAAAACCCCCTGTAGTGTTACGCACTGCAACACAAAGTTAACACTGAGACGCCTTTAAACTGCTACTGTAAATGGCTAGCATTGGGACTGATTTTTAAATGAAACCGCAGATAAGTGCATTAAACGGCCGCTTAACAGACTACCATCAGTGACAGCAGTTTGTAAGTAGGAAAGAAGTATGTAGTAATATTCTAGTAAAGACTGAATAATTGCAGACATGGGTTCACTTCTAAAGGTTCATACATTGGGGAAATCACAAAAGCGCTATGCAGCCTCAATCAGCTAAGAGCGTTTCTGAAGTTTGCAGAGAAACAGGTCACTCACGTTGGCCAACCTTCGAAAGTTGCCACTGTGAACAGAGTCAGCAAGGCCTGGGGGACATTGTCAAAGTTGAATTCGCTGTTATTCCATTGACGTTCCTTCAAAAATGGTTTGTCTAAACTCATGTCCTCATAGTCTATGAATTGGCCTCTGAAAATTTTGTAAGAAAAAGTGCTTATGAAAAACCATTGGTATCCCCCTTTGCAAGTATGTAGTTTCACGAACTCGGAGAACCGGATGGCTCTCAGTGTGATCAGGGTAGATTGGTGATGTAAGGTTCGTGACTGGTCAATGTGTTAGAAACACGCATCCTCACTTGACGGTGTGACATGGAGGAAGCAGTCACATTACGAGGAAGTCTGAAAATTCTAATTTTGGAAACCAGTGGTATTGAAGATTTGGTTCATAATAATGTTATATGCTCATTTAGCTAAAAACGGTGAAATTGCAAAATAGGGTGTTGCAATAGACCACATTGGTAAAAACGTGACTATGATACTTTTCTACCCTCTATAGGACATCGTCACCAGGCAGAAGGTTGGCAAGATTCATTGGCATTTCGAAAGTAGACACAACTGGACATCTGAGAAATGGTTAAAAGACTACTCCAAACCCACGGCCAAGATGTGGATCCGTGTCAACGTTTACACAGCTGAATGATAGAAGGTGAAATTCGCGGCCATAACCGAGATTCTAAAGCGAGCGAGCAAGTTGCCGTTCTCAAGGCAAGGAAGGTGATGCAGGAATCATATGGTTTCGATGATTAACTCCAGTAGCAAGTACGTGTGCAATTATTTCAAGAGTTAAATCGTGTTCTTTTTTCAACAATCAGTATTTATCAAAACTTATTGACAGTTATGGACCAGATGCACGTTTTTACTTTAAGAATATTGAGTGCACTCAAAGTTAGAAGGACAAGTCAGTCGTTGTTATAGCTACGTTAAAGCACCGGGTTGGTTAACTGGGCACAACATTCTTAATCGCTTGTGGTGATGGTGTAGGTCCCAGATGTTCACGGAAATCGACTCAAAGCTAAGAAAGAACGGAAACGAGCTAACCGAAGGGGACCATGCATCGTGGTTTGAGATCCTAAACGTAGCAGTGAATGGTGCTATCAGTAGAATGTGCCAAATTGGGTGGCGATCGAAAGGGTTTGCACAATATGTTGCAAACCAATTTGCGTGTGACTGTGAGAAGCTTAGGGCTGCTAAACACCCTCATGTATATATGCACGGGGAAGAGATGACTTTCAATGATTCACGAGTTGATGTCTTCAGTGGGATTTTTTCTCTTGAATCAGTGGTATGCCAAATTGATGAACGTTCAAAAGCTTTGGCTCAACATGTAGTTTTTGTTGTTTAGCATAATGTAAGATTCAAAATGAACTCGGAAGTTGGATTTAGCCTGTTCAGTTCATGCTGCAAAACCACGGATATTCTTTTACTACAGAGCTTATAGTGCGTAGCAAATTTCAAGGGAATGTCGGAGCATGTCTTAGGCAGATAACAGCTTGTACAGCGTTTTCACTAGTTCGTTTAGCTCCCCCAGGAAGCGAAGAACTCTGCGGATCAGGACTGTGCAATGACTCTTTTGTAGATGTTGATGACCAACGATAGAGTTTGGATTGGGATACTTATGGATGATGTAAACACATAGTTTCACCGTAATCGGGACTGGAGTTGAAAATGAAAAAGCTTACGATTCGATGGATTACCACCGCCAATCTAATGTGTAGTAGTTCCGGGTCACTTATTTTCCAAAGCCACAAGTCTAGTTATCATTTCATTCTTGACTATCTCTGACAACCCAAGGCAAACCGATTGCAGTTTATATGATTCTGCGAAGCTTACGCTGATAAATTTCCTTAGTGACAGTATTGCTCTAGTGATTGAGATCAGGAGTGTCTTCATGGACGATTAAATTGCGAATTAATGTTGCGTGTTGCAACTCAACTGCGGAGTGGGCCTACTAGGACAAAGATTCCTAAGGGCGTTCGCAACGCTAAGAGTTGAGTAGCCTTGAGGTGGTGTTCGGATGCTAACCACAGGTCAGCGGCTCAAAAAGAAACTCAGGCTATCAGTACCTGCGTAGTTTCCTGGTAGTTATCCGCCCCAGTTAATATCGCCTTAGTTCAAACGGGCTTTAAAGCGGACTAAGGCGTTGTCTAAATTGATATCGTATGTTACAGTCCGCACACATAAACAATCATCCAAAGCTCAGCAACAAGCTACTAAACGTTGTGAAAAGTGTTGGCCACCGAAATGGGTATTGTAGTGATGGAAGCGTCTGCAGACAATTTCCGCATCGCGATTTCTAGTTCCAGCCCAGTTATCTCTACCTGGAGAATTCGCACAAGGAAGGCAGCAAGGTCAAGCTGCGGGATTTTCCGACGTGTATGGTTGGGCAGAAACTATCATCGACACATGTGATCTTATTTAATGCAAGTTCGGATAGTCTACATGCCCGTGAGCGTTGTACATACACGCACTGATATTACGGGGCAGATAATTGACTGTTTCTTGCACAAAATATATATAAAATCTAGTTACAGTCTACAATGGATACTACCGACGCCTGCTTGACGATTTGATAAGGAAATATCGGACCCTGAAGTATCGCTACCATGCTTGTCGACACCTTCCGAAACTGAATGGTAATACGATTCTGAGAGGTCACCAGTTAAAGCTGATCAGAATGCCGCGGAAATTTATCTCCACTTTGAGTGTGCTAAACTTCAACGCCCTCCCGATTTAGGTTGTTTCTTACACCACACCAAGAGTATTCAGTAAACACTTCGATGATACACGCATGTATTTACATTAATGTACTTGGGATCAGCTTAACACCACCAATGAATGTGCTCAGTTCCACTTGCTGCTCTTCGGTAAATAAACACTACTACTGCGGAATAGTGTTATGAGGTGCGCAGACTGGGTTTAGGTATCACATCGGCCTAAGGAAGTCGTGCGTGAGCGATCGTTTCCATTTGCTCTCATTATTTTTCTTACAGAATAAGTCAACTATGCTCGCGTATTGTTTAGTGCGCTTGCATTTAATCTCTTTTCCACACAACGTTTTGCAGCAGTGTAGCTAAATCGGTAGACGATTGATTTCATAAATTTCACCACAACCATCCTACGGGATTCGTCAAACAACTGCTTTCTCACCCGCAATCAAGCAATGTGCATTATATTTTAGTGCTGCGTGGTCATCTTGACAAACACTCGCATCATTTAACCCGATAATTAGGGGGTTGCGAAGCTAACACTTGTGAGATGGAGATAATGATTAAAACGGTTCCATTTGCACTGAAAAACTCGAATGAAAACTTGTCTGGTAATGATGTAGGGTAGCACATGCCAGGTATTTAACGAGAACGCAGCCATGATCGGCGTAAGTTTAAAACATAGACATATTCTTGCTTTAAGACCCCCAGTCCCCAGCACATTGATTCCACCTGAGCAACATGAAGTTGGCCATGCTTTAGATAGGATGTAGTTGCGTTAACTAGCGCTGATAGTGCTGATTACGTCAGAAGATGTGCTTTAACCTTTCCAGGCTGCAAATCTTGTTAGGCCCATGGAGCTGCATATTTGTTGCGATACCACACTCCATTATATCATGATTGTCATTGTTTTACACAAAAAATTGCCAGTGGTACGCTTATTTAAATGCTAGTTCCTTCATATCGCGCTATCTGTCCGTTTGCCAAGCTCTCTTCAAATCCTTTCGTCTGATGGCTAAACAGGTCTCAAGCAAATGATAACAAGTTGCGAATCGGTGGTCATATGTTCGTCATTTTCGTCACTCGATCTCTGGGTGGATGTAAATTATATGAATGAACTAGTATCAGATGCTTTACGTACATTCTAACAAGGATGCTGGACTCCTTCTAAAATCATTACGATGATCAAGGTTCGTCACCTGAACTATATTGCCCTGTCTATAAACTTACGACGATGCTAGAATGGGTGCCGAATCTGACAAACGTTGGGCCATGAAAACCACGAATTGTTTATGAAAAACTCAAAATTAACAGTTGTGACTCAGACTCCTTCAGTTAAGTAATGGGAGGGCGGATTAATTCTATATTTCGATTCACTACATCAAACACATAACAAAGTGGCTAAAGAGAGACTTACTTGCACTCTGCCTCAGTGTGCTTGGAGATATCCGTACAACTGTAAAATTTTCCCTTGAATAATTGAACCCCAATCACACCAAACATGAACTCCAACAGGAATGTGACCAGCACGATGTTGCCGATGCTCTTGATGGCGATCACCATACACTGAACCACGTGCTAAAAGGGGAACAATTATAAATGATGTTTAGTATTCTGGGACAACGTCCACGATAAATTACTACTCCGATGTTTCCTCTATCGAACAGCTTGAGTTGTTATTTGTCAACGCAGCTATCTAAGGATGCTCCGTTCAGGACAGCAAACATTGCGAAGTAAAACAATACAGGTTGTTGGGTAGTTATAGTGTTGTTTTCTCTCAACTGTGAACTGGAATGTAGGCGAAAAAGCGTACGATACCGTAACTGTTCACTTCGGATGCGCAACCAGTGATCGTAATGACTTAGGTTCAATACATCGTGAATTGTGGTTTCAAATGAGATTTCGTGTCGTAATCCAAACACACAGACGGTAATGCAAAACCCAACAGTGAGCACGGGTAGTTAGATGGACCAACTGGATGCTGCGCAATCTATACCGGATTATGCGATGTGTTGATCGAGTGCAACTCGCCTCGCCATTTTGCAAAATACATTGGTCTCATATAGATGCCATGGCGATCCAACAAACGTTATGCAGCCCATCGATTAGGAGGGAGCGATATCCTCAGAACACATTTAGCATTTGCGTGTAATGTATTTGAAGACAAATTCCCCAATTCATTTCGCAAACCTACAACAGATCGCTAACTAAAGAAGGAAAATCGAATGCGCGGTCGTAAAATAACTGGACGGCACAGAGTCCAACTTGTACAACTGTCTACTATTTATATGACTATAAACCGGTTTGTGGAAGCTGATTATGAGAGAAGTAAACAACGTCGCCATGGAGTTATTAAGAATGAAGTTTCCCCTGAGAACTAAAGGAGTGGGCGCTTAAAAATTGTGCGCACAAGCTGACCTATTCTAATCTCTGAGTCACCGGCAGGTACTGTTTTGGTCAGGTCGCAGAATTTGTAAGCACGCTGGTCCAGATGAACGCATTGCCTGTTTGAGGTTCGGTTTTGTGTCATTCTGTTAAAGCGAGTACTCTCGACGGGAATTTTGAATAGGCGTCTACTCCTCCGCGATTGATAGGCATAATACCCGTACCAAGAGAATGATCACAGTTGCCGGTTGCGACTAAGTACACAGACTTCCTGAAGTACTTAGTGAACACCCCTAGACGTGTCCACCGATTCTGTCTCTATGGGAATAATAGTCCAGTTATTTTTGTTTCAGTAACCAAACTGTTTCCCGATACGGCGCCAAAACAATCGTAGGAAACATGGATCACTCTTGTGGTTATTAGACGTCATATAAATCTCTTTGATCTCATCCTTGCCAACGTGGAGCATTTGATTGATGCGTTGGTTGTGGACCCCCCGTTGAATCGCAGTGACCATGCAGTCATCAGTTTCAACTTCGTCTGCTATGTGGCATACATGAATAAAAACCATGAGACTGTGCGAACCAGCACACGCTACGATCGATAAGACCCAGATCGTAGGCGGCACAATCCGATCGTTCCTTGTCGAAGAACCTCAGGATGTCGCCCGGCTGGAAGTCGTTAGCAAATCCAGTCGGCCGATTACATATGCTTCAGAGACAAGAGTTTGCAATGGGCCGAAACCAGTTTCTTTCGTAAGGATAAGGACTCACAAATGGATGTTAGTACGCATCATAACATAGCTAGCGCATAGATTATCTACAACGCCAGAAAACTGCGACAACTACGTACCTCAACGTAACCACTGCACTCAACTTCTCAGAATACAAAGCCGCATATCATCAGAACAGAGCAAATTCTTCAGCACTAACCACGAACTGTTGTACACGCATGTCAATGGCCTATGAAAGGTGAGACAGGGACTCCCTTCACTGTGGACGGCTGATGATGCAAGAAAAACGGCTACAGAAGCGGCAAACGCGCTGCGGAGGTAATATGTCCCTAAGTTTCAGAGGGTATTGCCATTAAGCGATATTCCAGCATTTATAGCCCCGCTGCCAGAATTAAGCCATATCTTTGAAGCTATTTCTTAATAGCTGACGTCTCTGCGCAACCACAGCTCCCCGGGTGTCGATAACATTCGTTCAGAGGCACTAGATGCAGTAGTAACATAATTTACGAAACCTTTGGCTCAGTTCCTCCAGCGCTGCTTAGACCAGAACTAGATTCCTGCTATGTGGAAACTTGGAATAATCACCGATTCGCAAAGCACGGAACTTTCAAACTACCGCCCAGTATCACCTCTCCCTATACTGTCTAAGGTCACTGAATCCATCATTGTCGATACGCTTAGTGCTATCTGGAGAGTTGCAACATTAATACGCCCGAACAGTTTGGCTTCCATCGACAGCGATCGTGCACAACGAATTTACTGATCACACGGAGTAGATGAACCAAGTCAGCTGAAGCTGGAGAGAACGTTGATGTGAACTACCTGAATTTTTCTAAGACATTCGATCCTTTAGATCATCGGATACTCCTTTCCAAGCTCCAGTAGTACGGGACTGGTGACCCTCGTCTACGCTGGATCGCCAATTTTCTCTTTCAATAGCAATTAGCGGCCAAAGTTCGGAGCGCTTTAGCAGACACCATACAAGTTGAGTGTGGTGTGCCGCAAGACTCAGTTCTAGGTCCACGATTGTTTTTGGTGTTCATTAATGATATCGCGCAGGAAACTGCTTCAACATTTGTACTGTTTAACTGCGATATAGCGCGTCTTATCCTCCACGGCCATACAAGTTACGCACGTTGCCGAGGACAACAAGATTTGGCGTATTACTCAGGTGAACGTTAACCATACCAGCAGAAACTGAAACGATTGGGTGTATTCAGCGGACGATATTGCAGATTACGAGGTGACCAGATTTTACACAATTCACATAAGGTAAGCCACTCCTTACTGCAACTCAGTGAAACTCGTAGAACAGTATGTCCGTGTGGAGAGCTAAACGAAATTCTTTTCCATTCGCGTGGAACCCTCGTCTCGTATCGATCGTCTCTGTACCGACACTGGCAATAGTTAAAAGATTGTTGGACGACACACTCATCCACTTACACTATGTTAGTCAGCAGTCACTCCATCCTACTCCTGGAATATACCTCGGATTTATTTGCTGTCATCTGTGGGTGTTGTGAAAGTACGCGGATTGTAGGACTATAGCGGAACAAATGACAAGTCCTTCCTTTCATACTTAGAGTACTAATTGTTTTATTATTTTTTTCGATAACCCCACTAAACCACCCAACGGAAATTATAATGCAGTGCTCCTGAACCTGTATAAATTCATTGCTCATTGATGTACAGAGAAGCGTAGCATGGAAAATGACACATAACTTGCAATGAGGAAAAACGGGGGAGAATAAATAGCTGTTAACACATGCTTTTTGATATGACTTCATACCAAACACAAAATGTGTGTAAAACGCCAATTTACCTTAAGTCCTTTTGCTCGATTGATTGCCCTTAAAGGTCGAAGCACTCGTAGGACCCGAAGAATTTTCACAGCGGATATTGTTTGATTTCTGTGTTAGGTGTGGAACAAACAGTAGCATCACTGTTCTTAATAGGTAGAACGCATTGAACACAATTGCATTAGTATCGGCTTGCGGTACTGGCTCTAGGCTGTTCTAGTGCGTAATATGTGATAATTCACATTTCAGATCGGTTGTGCTAGACGGTTACTTTTGAGCGGTGCATCAGGAGCAAAACGCTATCCAATTTTACCGTTTCTTTTTGAATGCCGATAAGATAACTGACCACTGGATTTATCCGTTCTATTCGCGCTCCCAATAGAATTAACAAGTAGGTTACATACATGTTGTTTAGACTATGTAATTACACGCATTAACTGATTGTGATGTTTTCTCACTCTCGCTATTTGGGTGCAAGCATAGCAATTAACGGTACATGCTGCTCTTTATCGCGTGAGATGGACAAGACATGATCAAAGGCGTGTGTCTAACGGACCCTGCCCACCCTGATCTGTTAGTACTGGTTTCGCTTAACTTGAATGAGGACGAGATGTTTGCCCGTCCAATGACTTCAGTAAACCGACAGTAGTTTTCGGAGTAAGCGGAGAGTGATAACACTAGACTCAAAGCGTGGTCTCACTGTGGAATACGTCGTGGCTCAACATCGCTGCGTAAGCCTGGCACGCATGTTTCTCCGAATACCGCGTGCGTTGAACGAGTGTTATTGCCTCCGCAAAGACCGTACTTCCCATTCGCCTGCTTACCAGCACTTTTCCTGGAGCGTGTGGGCAAGCTATGGGTGGTGCGCAACAAATCGTTCTGGATCTGTTATATGCGCAGTCATCTTGTGGCTATTCGTATGTACAGTTGCAGACAAGACTGAAAACGGACGCAGTCAACCTTGTGATAAATATGAGTGCCCATCGGCGGTGCAAAGAGCACATCCTAGCTCCTGGTCTGAAGGCTATGATGTTTACTACGGTATCCAAAACTTAGGATATAACTCAATGATTCGGTGTTATGGCATGTAGAGAAGTGAAGAGTTACAACGCAGTGGTGCGACGTAGGCTGCATCGTCGGTTTTATCAAATGCATAGTGGCCTGAATGTCACGACGGTAGACTGAAGACAGTACGGGAGATTAAAGAGACCACTACCTTCAACGATCATACGGTGTAGGATGGCGGTCATGTGGTTTCAAGGAAAGATCTTGTACATCATTTTTCTCTGTAGAATTGCAAAACTGTCATTGTGCACAGTCTGTAACATGTGGATTCATTTGAAGAAAAGTGGTCGATCGAAGGCGTGCCGAAGTTGCTTATCGGGTACTGAATCCTAAGGCTGGCAACCATCTTAATGGTCAGTGGAAAGGAAGAAAAGAATGTAACGAGTGTAGCTTCGATGGCGGAACCGCAGCATGCATGATACATTTGTGATTCAAGTAAGGCAGCCGTTTATAAGGCAGCGATAGTTAGTTAGGTGTTAAGCACTCCGATTGTTGCAAGCTGATTTTACTAATGAGTATACTGAAGTAACTAAATGATAACCCAGTTCGATCAGTCTAGACAACCAATTGCTGTCCCAATGGCGAAATGCGGTGAGTTCGATGGCAAGATAGGCGCCATCTAGCATATAAACCCACCGATTAAAATATGTGATATACTAACATGAACGGGCTGAAAAAGTTAGCGACATCCGATAGAAGGGATAAGATTTTGATATTGGTTTTCCAATACTAGACTTCTTTTAAGGCCCGCAACTACGGAATTTATGTGCTGCCGGCGTCCGCGTCGTGAATTTTGTCTCATCCAGCTTAGCCTTCCCCTCAAGCCACGATCTCGTAGTAAATGCATAAAATTAAATACGGCATAAGATTCAATGCAGTACTATCGATGTTAAGGTTCCGAGGGCATTAGTATAGTGTACACCAAACAGCTCTAACGAGGGGGATAAAGATCGATAAACATAAAGCAATAATCCCCTGTGCATGGTATGACATCAAAGAAAGAGGTCAAATCAACAACCATAGTGTTTTCACCTGGTTCAGTTAGGCTAATGGGGAGTTCTCCAAGTCAGGCGATTGATCTCACATGACACAAGTTAAGCTTATTTGCCTCAGGCGAGATAGCGCGATACAGTAAACCGCTCAAGAAAGGGGTCAGGATAAAGGACTATTCGGAATCAGTCACTCAACGCCCAAATTGGCAGACCAGGGACGAAAATACGATTCGGATAGTCATTTAACTGATGATAACTCGTTTTTGGCACACTTCTGGTATCATGAACTTCAGTGCCACTAAAAGTACGGATGTTCATTGGCCAAGCCGTCATTGTCACGTCTCAGTAAATGACAGTAGTACCCACGAAGTTGTAATGGTGGCCCCATCAATCACTATATAGGTACCAAATGACCGGCAGGATAGGTAGCTCAACTGCACATTTCCTTTTGATCAAGTGACGAAGTTATCAGTCGTTACGTGGTGTGATTCACGCTAGACATCAAACAGTAAAAATTGGCAAAACAAAATTATGGGGGAAGCAAAGCTGTGTTTTCACTCGTTTAAAAACGGTTAAGAATCCAGGTTGCAGCTATTACAACGGAATAGATTCAGAATTAAGACACGCACTATTCCCTGCTGCTTCTATAAAAGTATTTCGTGTGGAACGTCAAAATAAATCCGTTGGGCAGAAGAGTTAAACAATACCCCGCTTTAAGTAACATAAAAAGCATTGAACAACTCTTTTTTCGGTTTACAAAACAGGTTAGACAGAAAACTTGAGAGAGATCTAGTCTAATGGGAACATTTCAGGCAGGTGTATGGCAAAACATGTTTGTCGAAAAATTTGTTCACCGTTGTGTAAGTAACTCACTGGAGCACGAACGACACTAATGCCACGCAGACCACAATGAGATCCAATAGATTGAATGCGTTTCGGCAGAATGCACCTTCGTGAAGAATGAATCCGTACGAGATCATCTGGAATGAAAATCAGTGCGTATGAAGAAGTTCTGGTCTCTACAAAGTTACCTGAGTACAATGGACCACAGGGTTGGAGAGCATCTCATAGCAGCTAAGATGAGCCACGTGTACCTAGGCCTCGTAGAAACTCATCGATTACCTCAGTTCACTTGGTACATTTGTATGCATCGCAAGCAGGATGATTTCCAGTGTTCTGCATATAAACACATCATGACTCCATTCAGAGGTAGTTCACTCAGATCCGCAGAGTACAACAGACATGGATGCGTAATTAGAGATGTTTCAATTGAGATAGTGTAAGCTGAGTTAAAGGGGTTCCCCATCACCTGCTGAAAATCCAAGTAGCAAAGTCGACTCTCCTGTTCCGAGATCCATCCCTGGTTGAAATGGGACTGAACTCCACCCCAAAAGTGGGCGACGTGCGTTCGTACAGCTATTGGAGACAGGTCTTTCAACCCTGCGGTATATTAGCTAAAACGTTACACTTATGCCATATAGAAGTAAAAACAGAACCGGATGTATTGTACACTTATAAAGACGTAAACTACACATACATTCAAGAGAAAGTCTTTCCTCCGCAATGTACTCTTCGATTAGAGCTCATATCGATGCATCAGTAAGCAGTGAAACGAATCTACGTCATATGTGACGTCCGACATAAGTGAACTTTCGACAAACCATGGAAAATGTACCTTATTGCAAGGAACGGTCGGAAAAACATAACAGCAAACCGCTTTGGAGACATTGTATAACGGCACATTCCACTTCCAATCCCTCTCCAGCGTTGCTTTGCTCTGTAATTACTGAAGAAATGCAAGGAGCTGAGGAGGACTATTAACGGTAAGACGCCTTGCATTCTTTTTAAACTTATACTTGTTCCTCTGCGTGTAGCTTAATGTAGGTTATTGTATCCCCTTCAAAGTTCCTCCTGGATTGTGTTTTGTATGCTTAAGTGGTATTGCGCTACCCTAAAAATGACTTAATCAGTGCTATCAGACCCCCAACCACTAAGTACCAAGATGGATTTTGCTGGCGTCGCAGCAACTCATAAGCCAGATAGTCTGGTCACCGATCCGGAAAAGCACCAGATGACGTTTTCGCCCTACCAGGGATTGTCAGTGGTGAACATACTTCAGCTCTCTCAGAAACCGAACCCGTGATGACTATCAGCTCGCGCTACTGTCCAGCAGCATACGCCACGCAGCCACGACGGAGGGTGGCAGACCACCATAAGTTGCAAGTTATCAGTAAAAGGGATTTAATATCTTTCTTCGAAGAGGATTCAAATGGATGGATGCACTGGCTATGCGGTCCGAAGTATGTCAAAAGAGCTGAATTGGCTATTTCCTAGAAGATATTTTTATATTTCACCATATGATCCAGTTTGGTCGCCCGGTTAAAGAGTGTACAATCGGAAAAGTCGGAATAAACCATTAGATTGTGCTTGCAATCAGGTTGTCGCCATCAGTGCCGCTAGTTCGCATTGGTGTTCTCGCGGTCGGATTGTTGAAGTCTTAATGGCAGGTCGTTTTTGTGGGCGCACGTTTAATATGAATCTGTTATTATGGAAACGTTTCGCTCTCGACTCATGAGCCCCTGCAAGAGATTGAAGTGCCGATTTGGCTGGACGATTATTTGTTAGACGTTCCTATAATAACACTCGAACGGCGACTGAAAGTGGAAACGGCTGATGGTCAAAGATCTTGAATATTTTATCTTCCGCGACAGATAAGCTTCAGTCCTTAGAACCTGCAAAATTAACTACTCTGCCTTTGAGGAGGCGGTAGTGCTTTAAAAAGATCCTTGGCATTGTAGAGAAGTGTATTCGTAAAAATTGCATAGATTGCGCAAGAGGCAGCGAATCACTGCTTTCGTGCAGCTTTCGTTACCATATACGAACGTATAAATATGCATATATATATATATATATATATATATACTGTAGAAGCCAGAGACTAAATTAAACTCCAGTGAATGCCTGGTCACGGTGGAAGAGTCAAGAAAATAATGGACATTGTTAGTCACATACCCGAGGATAGGTTGTGCAAAAATGCCCTACTTCGTGTAGACACCGTGTACCATACAGCAAAATTCATACTGTGTCAGTTCATTAATGCCTTGCTGATTATGGTAAAACGCACTCTATGTACTTTGGTTTTTTTTCTAGTTAATAGGTTACATAATTATGTCTCCGTTCTTAAACACCTGCGAGACACGCTTCTTTGCCCACAAAGGCACCTGCTGTAGCATCGCAGCTAATAACAGTATTCGTCTGGTAGCTTTGTGTACAGCTATGTTATTAGCTGGGGTCATCAAAGACGTTATCTGAGGGATAGATACCAAGTGTCGTTAGACGGCGTGATTCTATACCAGTGTGGGGCAAATCAACGTGAGAACGGATTAAGGCTTACACTGAATTCATTGAACCACGGTGCTTCCTGCGAATTGAAGTTGCAATATTCAGCATGATGCTCACCAAAAGCCAGCCTATAGTTGTCAGTAATAGTCGCTTTATCGAACGCATTCAGCTATGGGTAATTCGCAGATAAGGCTATGCATTACGAATATGTCTTGGACACGATTTCTATGACGGCCTAATGCTGTATCTCCACCGCCAGTCTGCTGATTGCAGAAAATCACCGCATAGCGCCACCTGCGAAGATATCTCGTGCGTTGGTGCATCGAGGTCTGCGCTTAACGGAGAACGTGTGTGTGTATATGTATACGTGTGCGTGCGCACGTGCGTGTTTGAAAAACCAATGATAAGGGAGTGGTCATGGGATATGCCTGTTGGAAAGCTTACAAGTGCGAATAGGTGTGGATCCAGTCGCGGGGTGAAACATGCAATATTTATCAGACAATGAAATGTTTCTCGGAAGTCTGGCATGTAAACGTATTTGAACTGCCATTATGGTGTGACAGGTCATTTATTGTACTAATTCCTTTAACTTAATTTGCGTTTTAACAGGTGAAATCTCCGGTTTCGAATATAGTTGCTTATTTGCTGTCTGCGGCCATAATTCGCAAATCGTGACCGGCATGTCCAAGCACAAATGTCTGTGAAATCATGTACTGTCATACGCACAAATCTTTGTCACTGACAGTCGCGCATTTATCCCAAGCGTCTGTTTTACTAGTTGTATTTAATTCAAGGGCGCGTCATATTGCTCTAACAGTATTTGTTCGATTTACACTCCTGTTAACCTAATTGTAGATAGAATTGCAATAAACAGCATAATTGTTTCTACAACATGTTATAAATCATTATATGATTGTGTAAAGACATTTAATTTATTTGCAAATGAAATCATGGTGGTACTCTTATTTAAGTTTTCACGGAGCATATCTACTGAACGCGATCTGAAACTCCAGATCAAGTCTCAGAGTATCTGAACTTCACCGAGAAGACCAACGTAGGTCATCGAATTGAGGTTCAATAGAAACTCGTTCCCAACCGCAATATCACGCATGCGGTGAATTTGTGCTCGGCAGCTCAGTACTCTCAGGTGATCAGACTGTGAAAACCGGGTTTGTTCACAAACACAGCGCTAAATGGTGTGGGAGCCAGGGGTATCTTATGCCACATCTACGCAATGTAGCCATTTTGAAGTAAGCGAGTCGGAGCACACGACATATTGTCGTATTCGCTTAATTTATGTTGCACGATCTCACGGGTCTTTCTGCTGAGCAGCTAGATTATGATGGAAAACGCAACCAATCGTTGGGTTAAAGCGAGTTCTCTAACAGAACAAAGGCCATGACGATGGAACATTGATCAGTTGCACAAAGGAACTGTACACGGATTGCTTTCTGTATGCCACTTACTCACGGTTGCTATAAAAACGCCAACCAATATTAAGCTTGCTCACCTCACCTAAAGAAACTTTTGGATCAAAACCTTACACAACAAATGCATCATCCGACCGTTCACAAAGCTGAGGTCTTTGGAAATAATGAACGGCCACGGGTCAATAAATCAGAGAAGAGAGGACTATTTTGCACCTTTGTAGACGCCTAAAAGTACTCAACCGATGAACTTACTTTCAGTGTAATTTCCACAGTAAACACACTTGTGAAAAAGTAGTCGAACATGTTCAGTATCTGGAAAAGGCAACAGTAGACAGATTGAGCGGGCCTGTTAGCAGTGCATCAGGAAACTGAATACCGCGTTGATTAGTGTACTATGAGATAGCTAGTGCAGTGTGCACCAACTGATTCTTGAACACAGGCCACACAAGCGCCAATCAAATCCCGGTCAACCTTAGTAAACATCTACTAAATTCTGGAGTAGCATGTGGCTGTTCGACTTGCCACGACCACTACCAAAATCAGTAAAAATGTAATGGGCCTGAAAGGCAAATAGCATACACATTCTTGAATTAGCAAAGAAAAAAGCTTTAGAACCGTTAAAAAAGCCACATCATTGGCATCATTCAAAGAGAACAGCAGTAGCAGTGATGTGCGCGACAATATGACAAGGAATAGGACTGGCCCCACGTCCTCGCCAAGTAACGTTTCAAGTGACCTCAAATAGACTGGCATACAACAAGGACAATTGGGAGGTTCGCCAAGTTCTCAGAGGGACCCGGTGCTACTTCATCAATTGCCAGCTGGTAAAATATGCTGTTGCGGTGGGCCTACTAAATGGAATGGCATTCGGCCGGACATCATTCATCCTCTCAAACGCTAACAAAAGACAAATTGAAAGATGCCCCGTTGTGAGGCGTTCCTTTGTATCCGTATGTCACGCATACGTCAACTGAGGTGACCACCATCAGCGTTTGTGTGTGTGGGTGTTTTGATATGGAATATGAAGCTGTGAAGCAATGAACATGTCACGCAAAGAATCCATTTGTGACCTACTAAGAAATTATAGTGGGCTCACTAAGCTAGGTTCAGAGCACACGCATGACGATCACTCGGCCAAGGCACAGTGTACAGTTACCTTTCTTGGCTACAAGTGGATAACGAAATTGTCACTTCCGATAGATCATTGAGGATAAATTCAACCGATGTTGAGGTACAGACATCAGCGGCGCTCATAGAACGAACCGCCGCCATCACCAGCTGGTGAAAAGAAACGCGGAATCAAACAGAAACTGGCATCGCAGTGCACATGGGAAGTCTGGGTTTCAAGTGATAGAAATTGAAGGCTGGATGCGAAAAATAGATTTAGCTTCAACAGAGCCCAAGTTTCTTCCAATAATGTCTGGTAGCAGACAGTCTTGATTGATCACCTATGGTAAGTGAATCTCAGTGAGGATAGCTAAGAACCAGAAAGCTGGTTAAAATCAGAATAGAATTGAATTTGACGAGACAAACACATGAGTAGTTACGGCTTTGTGATGGCAAACGTAATCAACGTTCCGAAATGTCTGATTGATGGGCTAATTTCACGTCCAATCAATGCTTCTCCAGAAGAAACTCGGGTTTGATTTTGCTTTCGCGCAAACTAACTAAAGTTCTAAATGTTTCACATGCAGTAAGCCGCACTCAGTCTAGATCCAAGATGCAATAAAGTGTAGATAGAGAGTATTAGCAACTCAAGTTGAAGAAAAAAGAGTGATGTCTGCATCGTCATTGAGGTTACATTAACTCAGGTTGTCTAACCTAAGGTAGAGTCTGTTAGCCTGTTGTTGCTGTGGTGATTCTGCAAGCGCTGATTGAGGCGATGTGGATTTCGCCTACTATAAATTGCACTGTTTTTAGTAAACAAGGCTAAATGTTTGTCATCTATCTGAACTGAGAACGGGATGAGATCGAAACTGAACGTTTAAATCTAACAAAACATGAAATGAATATAAAGATGCAGGATATTTTGGAATTGAATGTACTGAATTTCGCGAAAGAAGTTACAAACGATATGCTTCGATTCATTCACATCGGTTCGCACAGATGCAAGGCAGCCAGGCACACAGGCCTGCCGTTTTGTCCTCTTATGTTTGAACACCTGTGGTGGATCGAATGTGTTATATACTTGTTGCATGTGGTATCCAGTACTACGGTGACAAGCTTCATGAAAGAACGATTAATCGACGTAGAGAGGCAAAGTATTCGACGGACACTTAAGTAATGGATACAAACGGTTGTTTGTTGACTACAGTGAAAGACTGATCTTTGCGTCATATTATGTACCAAAAACATAATATACTCACTTTATTTCGCTGGGAATTGGCGTGTAATGGATCTTCAGCAGCCAGTAAAATACTGCTCACCAGAATACAAACCAATACAATGTTTCCGAAATGGGAAAGGCAGACGACGTTGTGACAGAATATGCGGAATCTAGGCAAAAGATAAGTGTTTCTTGAGTGATGCAAAAAGATTGCACAGAAGCCGTGAAAACTGCAAACGAAGCCTCATTTTCAAAGGAAACTTTTTCTACACACACAGTAGTTATAGAAAAACAGGATGCGTTGTCTTCACAATTCTTATAGTAAGGGGAATAAAAGCTGAATTTTGTCAAAGCAGCCATCGACTCACTTATTTGTGTCGGAAAAAATGAAAAACGCCGAATACGGTGGCATCGTGCGACTACCTTGGGCGGCGAAATCCCTGTGTTCTTCTGGATTCTCATCACCCCCATCAGCATCGTCCTCATCCGTGCCGTATATATCAGTGGGTGGGAACATTTCCTCGTATGTCTGATCCTCATGTGCTTAACAATGGGCAATAAGACAAAGATGAATACAAGAGATGTGCATAAAATTCTTAGAAAAACGAAGAAGAGGAAGGGTATTAGGACCGCATCCGGACAGTGTTTCTGTTCGCTGTCCTACATGTGCGCTTGCCTAGACGGACAATACTCAGGCGTGTTTCCTGACTGTCCTTTCTTATCAAACACACATACACATACGAATGTTATTTGATACCCGTACCTGATAATATGTCAGCGTATAAATCAGTACACTCAGTTAGTGTAAGTGAACCGGAAACAAGCATACATTGCTCTAGAACGTTCCCGCACAGATCATTGTTTAAGCTGAATAGCAACCACTCGTTTCTGCAAGGTACATGTCGCAAAAATGCAACACCTACTGATACGATGCACGATCAGGCCGGTTAGCAATTCAAAGTTTGTGACTAAGACGTTTGAAGGTATACATATCAGTGTCTGACTGAAATGTTTTTAAACACGTGGTACAGTTGAAAAACTTATGCCCCCTGGCGCTCAGCAAGTGTTCTACGTCATTTCGTATTAACAATTTTTATATATTTCATACCCATTCTTTGTACATATATGGCGATGTTCGCTGCAGGCGAATCAGCCATATCCGAAGACAAGAAAAGGTCTTCCGCAAATTGTCATAAGCAGCAGGTGCATCACAAAAACTCTGGGTACGCGGATCAAGGTCGAAATGGTCTCAGTGGAGGACAAACGGAGGTGGTCACACATTATTTTGACCACCACGTTGACTAGAAGGCCAACTACCTTAGTACTCAAGCACCGTGAATACAACGTAGGGATAGCGTTAAAGTGGCCGAGCACCCATCTGCTAAATACCAATTCTGAGGCATAGCACTAATGGTGTGATGAAACCGAAAGATTTGCAAGAGTTGAACGTAAAAAAATAAAGCGATCATTTAATTAAGCTAGACGGAGCCAAGAATGCCATCAATGTGTGGAAAAAATAACACATTTGTGTCATTGCACATTGAACGATGGTCATTCCATTCCATCCACAGACTGTTCGAAGAGCGGTCCATCTAAAATTGTACTACTAGACTCTGTAGCGAACAAACCAGACCATTTCTTTTCATTGAAACCAATTGAAACTGATTACAGCCGAATACGTAAGTAAACTCACACATTAACAAGAACTCGAGTAAGTTGATACTTACCGATGTGGTGCACTTCCGGTTTTGTACTGAAATTTAGAAAATCCAGTTCAATTAATCAACTTTATGAGCAGAGCATCCAAATGCCATTTGACAATTAACTACGTGCCACAAGGTTCATTGAACTACTGTTAGGAAAGTAAAGTGCGTGACCAGCCGTCACTCAGAAACGCAATAATTTATGCATTTGGCAGCGACACTCTACCGATGGAAGATGCAATTCTGTAGTGTAGTCACCCATCCGGGCATTAGGTATTCTCTTTGAGAAAAAGGTATTACGTATACGTACGTGGAGCACGTTGTCAGGACAAAGAGTGGGGTAGGATAGGGTGATTCGGAGAAACGATGGATGACAAGTACGTCGGAGGCTGTTAGCCAACAGTAGAGAGAAGAAAGGTTAACAGTGGGGGAGTTTTGACGTCGATAACGTTACACAAAGCAACCGTATGCATCAGTAAAGGTTTTTACGGTTGGTGAATATTAACAAATAGAACTCGATGTTCCTCGACCGTAATAGTAACGGTGCTTCTACAAAAGAGAGTCCCAAGTGTAAGCGAAAGAACTAATACGGAACTAAGGGCAGTCTTCGGTGAAATGGAAACGATAACAACTTCCCAGCAATTGAGATTAATCTACATGTAAAGACATAAGATTTTTTGGTGAATTGCACAGTCCTTGTGGACCCGATATCCGTAAGAGTAGACCACAGCGTCTACGATAACTGTGCATACAAAAGGACAAGTTAATTCGATAGAAGAGTTTTTCGGTGTTTGTGACAACTGTATTATATACTTTGACAACGAAATGTGCAAATTTGCGAAATTTTGCCTCTTCGTAATATTAGACCTGATCTTAGACAGCATCAGGGTTTTTTATTAGCAATTGATGGAATGCACTAAAGCTCTAGGAAGGAGGGTTTCCTTTCACTCATCCTGACTTTCCGAATGTGTGCCCATCTTAAGCTTCTTGTGGTACAGTAGTTTTGAGTTAAAGCAAAGCCACACTTGGTGTAGTAGCGTCAAGATTTCGGAGTAGTGAACCTCAATGCACTTAGCATAATGTTGATGAAACTGTCGAATTTGCAAAATGACATCCAGTATTCAGAAACCTCTAACTTAAGACATCATAAACCTCCATCCTTGTTGACGTCGACCAAATAAAGTTCGAGAGGAAGAAGCCCCACTGCTGGATGACGGGAACTTCGATCAGACTACCTCAATGTCATAGCCATGAAACACCAGATGCAGAGCCCGAAGTAAGAATGGAGTTTGGAACAAAATACTAATGACTTAGATTACTCATACTGCTAGGTGACCAACCAGCCCGCGGACCTGGGAAACTTGACCATAAATAAACTACATAAATAACTTATTAATCATTGAAAAGTTGAGAACAAGGACAATTTGGAAATGAAGATTATCTATGGTTGTCGATTCAGGGACAACTGTTGGTTGACTATGAGAATGTATAACTACCACATGAACAACTAGGTCCAGCCTACTCCACCTTTCCGAACAGTAAACGTTTACGCCTAGTTTGAGTAAAACCGACAGAGTTGCGCCTGGTCCGAAGCTTCCACTGATTGTGAAACAAAGCGTATCACCGATTGTACAGCACCGCGAGATTGTGTTTTTGTATGTCCACTGAAAGCAGAACACCAAATCCTGGAAAATATAGTGATGTGGTGGTGCAAAGAAAAGTGTGCCGTTCGACGTGTTGAAGAAGTGGTTTCATTTTACAGTCAAAGCTACAGAAAGGATTAGCACAATTCGTGCTACTAATTTAGCAATATTAGGTTAGATTATGGGCAGTCCATTTGCCGTAGTTGTGTACACATTCATGGCGTAGAAGCGTTTTATTAAATCCTAAAGTCTGTGTGGGTCAAAGTGGACCAGATGAGCAGTTTCCAATCTATAAATGACGAGATCCAGCATATATGGGCAGTACTTACGTTTGATATAGCTATGCAAATGCATCCGGCCTATAGCGTAAAATAACTCAACCCTACGTCTTAACGGGACCACTTGTTGTGTTCACTGGCACAAGCCCTTTAGAATAACGAGCATTTTATTCCTTATATGGGTCATCAATACAACGAATACTTGACGAAAGACTTTCCTATATGCGAACTACATTCTATGATGGTCAAAAAGTAGCTAAGGAAGAAACAAGGAAGTGATCTGAGATCGTTAAAGAAAGCAGAATGAAAAGTTCCGAATTCCGCCTTACTCGCGTATTTGCTCTAGAATAGGGGTTCGCAACCTGGGGGTAAGTACCCCCAAAGGGCTAAAATGGCTTTTTGCGGGGGTAAATAGTACTACGACGATTGGCTCATCAATCGGTCAGTAAACAAGTTTAATAACAATATCATCCGTATCAAAACATGTCGCTAACTACCTATACACTTTGGATTAGCCATCAGTGATCAGTCTTAGTCACTGCAACCAGATGACGCCGCTATCAGCTCCCGTGGCTATTGTCAGGCCGTCGTTCGCCGGGTCGAATTATGCAGTCAATTGCAAACTATAGTAGTTGAGCTTTGGTCAGACGCCCAGGCAAGGTGACGCGCGATTGTTTCCAGGTTAAACGGGTCAAAAGGGACCATTAGTGTTCACCACGTACCGGTACAGTGGTGGTGTCAAGTTATCATGCATGATTGACTTGGAATGTGGGAATGCAACACGTGAAGGCACTGATATCTATTCATGTTTGATCATGAATCACACACGAAAGCGTCATATGATGCCCTGAATGGAGAGAACAGCAGACGTTTGAAAGTGCGCAGAACACCGAGTTTTGGGTTACAAAAGTAGGCAGAATCAGCGGGTTGGAAGCCAGTGACCATTGGGTGTTGGGTTGATCACATTAATCCACATTTGTTTTTGACAAGAAACCATAGCAGGTGAATGATTTAATTTAACGGTTTTGATGTCGCCAATAATGGGTTTATGTGCAAACGTTTATGATACTGTCACCTACAGTAAATCACGAAAATATTCATATATATATATATATATATATATATGAGTATCATTTAGTTGCCTAAATTTTTGCAGGAACCATGTATTCTGGAAAAAAGCGCTTACAAGGAAGGTTTTCTGTAATGATGCTTCACAAACTTTGTCGATAAAAATGTCGAGAAGCCGCAATGTGTTTTGTGCAGCAAAGTAATCATGGGGCAGATCATGAAACCCAGCAAATTGAAAGTGCACTTCGACCTAAGTCATACTCATTTTGTGGGAAAATATATTACATTCTTCAAACGAAAAGAAGCTGCGCTTAAAAGTTCGCGTCTGGATACATCGTGCTCCTATTTTCAGTCAACTGAAGCTGGCCATGAAGCGTCGTACCGCATCGCTCTCCGACTCGCCAAAAACAAGAATCCTCATACTATAGGACAGGATCTCATGAAACCTTGCATAATCGATGCCGTGAAGCTCGCTCCTTGAGAGAAACATGTAGAAAAGACAAGCATGAAATCACTTTCTAACAACACCATCAGAAGTCTTATCGAGGATATAAGCAAGAATATTTTGGATAAGGTGCTCAACGAAATAAAGTCGTCCTTTCTTCGCAATACAGTTAGATGAGTCGACTGACGTTGCATCCTGTTCTCAACTACTGGTCTATGTTCGGTAGGTAAAAGACGACCGCTTCAAAGAAGAGTACTTGTTCTCCGAATCATTGAGCACAACTACACGTGGCGATGTCAAACGACAGTGAAGGATTTTGTCGAGGAAAAGGATCTACAGTGGTCGAGGTTGGTGGGTGTCTGTACAGACGGAGCACCATCCATGTTGGGCGTCCGTTCTGGATTCCAAACGTTAGTCAAAATATTTGTTCTGCACTGTACATTCAGCCACTGCATAATACATTGTTATGTCTTAGCAGTGAAAACTCTTCCGCCTGTTTCGCTGGACACGTTAACCAACGTAGTGAAAATAATAAATGTCATCCGCTGTAGTGCGACATTTACAAGAGTTTTCAAAGAGTTGTGCAATGAATTTGGAAGCAAATTCGACGTGTAGTTAATGCACACGGAAGTGCGTTGGTTATTACGAAGCAGGGTGTTGCACCGAGTGCTCGAGCTTCCAGAAGAAATTGCAATGTTTCTTGAAAGGAGGGAGATGCATAAGTGTAAGGTGAACGGGTTACACGTCATGATAACACACAAGGTATTTATTTCCAAACTAGCCTATCTTGCAGGTTTCTTCGGAGAAATAAATACACTGAATCACAGCTTGCTAGGAAATATGGTTGATATTTTAACTACTCAGGATAAGGTCACCAGTTTTCTTCCTAAAAGGCAGCTTCACCAACGCAGAGCAACAGTTGACGATGTGTCGATGTTTCCATAACTATCAGTGATGCTCGCTGGAAGAAATGAAACATGCGCTTTCACAAATGATATAACTTGCCACTTGTCATCAGTGGTCCATTCCATCAGCAAATATTTTCCTGATTTGAAAAATTGCTAAGTAAATGCCTGTGTGCTAAGACCATTTTCAGTGGATGAGGAAATCTTTCCGGATACTGCCATTGAAGCCAAAGCACAATTCCTAGGAATGCGCGAAGATAACGAATTAAAACTAGATTTCCAAAGCACACCACTGGTACCATTTTGGATAAAGATAGGTGGTGAGTATCCATTGCTATCGGAAAGAGCATTGAGAATATTGATCCCATTTGCAACAACTTATAGATGTGAAAGTGGATTTTCGACCATGGTTTCAATGAAAACAAAAGCAAGGAGTCGAATGAACGTAGAACACGACGTCCGATTTGCATTAGCAGAAATTAAATCAAATCTACCAGAAATTGTTAGCCCTAAGCGATACCAACCGTCCCATTGATGTATATCGCCTCTTGATTGCATACAATGTTGTACCAGACAACTGTTTTCTTTCTTTTATTGATCAAGAGTTATTTCAAATAGCTATCAGTTCCCGTACTTAGAAGCAAATAGCGCGACAGTTATTCGTTAGTTAGCGTTTGAAACGGAAATCGGTGGGGGGGCGGGTTGATTATAGCAAACCCCATTTGTGAGAGCCACAAAAATGTTAAAAATCGCCGATGTACAGCAACATGCGTTAAGGATAAGTGTGATATCGCTTTCTAACAGCACCATCAAAGTCGCGTTCAGGGCATCAGCAAGAATACTTTGTACGCGGCACTTAATGAAAGAAACGCCTGGATTTTCTTCGCACTACAATGGGGGTCTCCTTTATTCGCATGATTGAAAGTACTTACATTTGCCGTAATTTAAAGAAAAAATGCAGTAGTTGCTAGCTAATTGGCTTTAGAAAGTTTGGGGATAACTGCTTAAAGTGAACCCGCTTTTTGGGGATAACGGCCTCAAAAAGGATGGGAACTCCTACTCTAGAACAAATGCTTAAAATCTTGTAACCACTGCAGAAAATAGTTTCTGTTTAGTTCGCGTATTAACCCTATGTGGACTGTCCAGAAAACAAATGATAAGTGAAACATACATAGCTTTTTCATCCACCTCGGCTTCTTTTGTTTCAGGCTGTGCTTCCTCAACGGTCTCGACGCTTTTCTCCCCTTCACCGCCGTTTCCTTCATCTTCCTCATCGTCGTCATCATTCAAATTATCCACAGCAATAGCCAGGAAGACATTAAGTAGGATGTCTTTACCGTACGTCAAGGAATAATAAACAGGATACACACGCTGTGAGTTAGTACTCGTAGAATGTAAAACGAACACATGCTGATTATTTTCTGGCTTTAGTACATAGCACCAGTTAATTGGACTCAGAACCAAGTGTAGGTGTATGTTTATACAGCTAATGTTTGGACAGTGTTCTTATTTCAGAACTGTACTCAACACAGTTTGTGTGCGGTCCAGTATGCAATGTGGACAACCGAAAGAGAGAAACTAGAAAAAAGGATACAGTTTCCAACGATGAAGAGGAAGATGAAGTATATGACAACGACACCATACCAGGGAGTGCCCAAGTAGGCCCGCATCCCATTGTACATCACTTCATTCCAATCTTCACCGGTTAAAATCTGTTTTGTCACCAAAGGAGAGTGTGCGATGAAGGCCAGAGTTAAAATGAACCCACTAAATGGCGGATACAATCGAAACGTGGTAGAATTCGATCACGGTTTTCCAAAGAATTACTATTAACTGCGTTTCTTTGCGGCGGACGCTCCACTTACCTGAAATACGGTCAACATAGCTTGAAGGATTCCATCGAAGTTTGCGCGTGGTTTTTCTTTCGTAATAAAGTTAAAGCGTCCACCAAACAGTTGCATTCCGAGTAAAGAACAAATCAAAATGAAGATAAATAAAAGAAGGAGGAGGCTGGCAACGGAACGAACCGATTTGAGCAGCTTTCCGACGAGACTCCGTAAGCTCTCCCAGTATCTAGATGTAAGAGGAATAATCTTTGAATGGGCTGATAGGGTTGTGGCTGACAAAATTTTTATAGTAGAAGATAGTAAATATTAATGATAAAAGCGTAGATTAGACCATTGCTTACTGTGTCGTTCCATTTACACAATGCAAGCTAGCAACAGATGATCCGGTACTCTATACCTCACTGAACACGCATACGATTAAGTCCATTGGTGACATATGAGCAGTCGTCAGGTTACCAAAGACTCAATGTTCGTAAATAAAATTGTTTGTGACCATATGGTATGGTTATAGAAATAACATGAGTCACCCTAGCAAAAATGTTTCGGGTAGTATAAATCACATGTTAACGGTAGATCATATGTTTTATATCTAAAACCCTCACTGTCGTTAGCCAAATGTTCCTTCACCACCTTGGGAATGTATGAGAAAGCACACTGAAACCGCATCTCTGGGCCTAACTCTCGTGGAGCAACCAGGTCTCATGACAGCATCTAAAGCTACTTCTACATTTATCGAGAAGTAAGTCGCGGAATCGCATTGCTGGGATTCCACACCTGATATTGAAATCTACCACAAGTTTCGTCTATATTCAACTTCGTTGGTGAGGCGAAACTGGCCTTCTTGGGGCAAGTAACATGCAGCTTTGTGAATGGACGGTTGGAAGATGGTATGTCAAGGAACATGATCCTTGTTAAGGCGGAGTACAATGGTTCAAGTGGATTTGAGAAACTCTACACAGAAGCTGCTAATTATGAATGAAATCTCCAGCCTGTTAAATGTGTCGATCACAGTGCTTGTTATTTCGGAGGTCAAAACATCCAATTGCAGTTGTGTAGTTAGGAGCACAAATCCGAATTCAAATTAGCTATCACAGAAGGAACAAAAGTAGAAGTTAGATGGCTGATTCTATTTGCTGTACTTTTCCTCGCCATCGGTATAATGCCTTTCTTTGAAATGGTTTTCCTTACACATACCTCCGATTTCTCTTACTCTCTTGCTTACTTTACGGAACTGGCATAGCAGGGACTGCAAACGCAGAGAACGTAGGCATTAGATTGGTGGACCATTGTGTGATTTGAGTGTTTTCGTTTTAGATCCATCAAGACGTCGGAGCACACCAAATCCTGGGGCAACCACCCGCTCAAGAAGTAACGCTTACGCGATTCTCCTACCGTTCCAGTCCCACCTGAATTTGAACTTAAAAAATAAGTGATGAGAATAAAAAACGCAAGAATATCTTTAGTTTGGGCTACATTCTGATGATTGAGATGATGCCCCACAGCCATAATTGAGTTGGCCAGTCCTTAAGCCTATTGTGCGTCAACGCATCCCTACCATCGTTTAAGGACAGTGGTCGCAAAGCCAGTGGAAAGCATTTAGCCAGAGGTTGTGAGTTTAGCAGACCAAATCGCTCAAATGACGAATAAACTGGTCGCTGTAATACTTGCGTTGTGATAAAGTATCGTACACTAGGCTAAGGTTTTACAAATTGCAAATTGTACATTTTTTCACGGTACCGAGGAGTCGTACCCAAGGCTGGATGGATCAAATCTACATAGCTAGTGCGCACATGCCTGTAAAAGTGCAGAGCGTTGGAGTTGAAATATCGTTATGACTGAAACTTTTTGATAAACTCTCTTTTATGGCGAACATGTTCCGTTAGTCTCAGCATCGTATACCCTTTAGCAAAGCCGCATTACTTATTAGGACTGTATATAGCACCCAAATTACCCAACGGTATGGAGTCTAATTGGTATATTCAAACTTGCCGTACACCACACAAAGTTATGTCCAGGTATGGCTAAAGATAACCTCTATCACATATAATGGTGTAATCAAGGAATTCGAAGAGATTGGGAATTAGGATAAACTTATGCGCTGGGACTAAGGAATTGGCGTTGTAATGGAATCTTTGTCTATGCCGTCAATCAACCTTAGTAATCCGCAGCACAGGTGAATTCACACCGGAACGCGCTCATGCTGATTCCATAAGAGCAACAAAAGTGTCCTACGCAACAATGAGTCGAGGGTAATCCGCTTCACATGGAATAATGCTATTAAAGAATGGTAGAGTACCGTATAGACTTTCACTATCTAGGCAAAACTTACTGTGTCAGTTTGAATATCCGTAGCAAACGTGCACATCTGAGCACCGATACGCCCATCGGTTCGAGGACTTGAAAGTGGACTAGCAGTAATTCGAGTATCGAGAATATGACCACGAAAAAGTCAAATCGGTTGAAAAGTTTGGAGAAATAATCGGTGAAACCGGAAGCTGCAATCTTCACCAGCATCTCCAGAGTGAATAGAGTGACAAAGATCTGATTTGCAAAATCTATAGGGGGGAATGCGAAAAAATGCATGTCAAGCAACTGAAAAGGAACAATACCAACTTCATGTAATCTTTAGCTTCAAACGCTTACTTTGAAATGCGTCCAACCATATCGGCTGGTTATGGTGCTCTGTGGTGAGCACCACAGTGTTCAGAAAGACCAGAATGATAATCAGGGCAAAACACTGCCTGCTGTTGGTGAAAGCGATCACAGCCCGACGAATACGTTTGCGAAATTTCCGAAATCGCCTAGGACCAGAGAGACGATGCAGGAGAGGAAACGTTTTGGCAACAATCCATAATTGGCAGAAATTATGGAAAACTAGTTCCGAAATATCATCGCACACAATCTCTAATCAGCTATCCACTATACCGCTAAGCTAGCTTCGTTTCAGTATAGTAACAGAGTAATGAAACTGCTGCCTGAACACACAAGCGATTTACATGCCAGGGTAGAGCAACCACACTAGCACGGCTGAGTGTCTTATTTTATTGCCCTAAGACATATGTTAATGCAAAGATGATATCCTGATCGTAAACTGTTGCGATTAAATATGGTGCCAAAATCTAACTGAGGAACGGTCGAACATGAAGCAATTCCCAGCAGTATGAGAAGCAAAAATCACGGTATTTTGTCTCTATGGTAAAACTCAACCACGGCATATATGCAGCAATGCACTAAACAGTCATACTGTGCACCGTTACCAGCACTCACTTGAGAGTTGTGTGACAGTGTGACTTGACCACCTCATCAACGTGGACCTCCGGTTCAGCTTGGGTCAACTCGGCTCCAGCACCTGGAGACAGTTGCACAAAATGATTGGGTAATAGTGCATTGATCTGTAAATCTTACGCTTGTGCCAACCACCACGGCCAAGAAAAAGGAGGGCGCTATTCGCTTACATAAGAGGTATGTGGATTAAACAGATGTGAACGCAACCTCTGATAAACCATATTGAATGATATTAAAAACATAAACACGGATAGCAATACCAGGGGATACAGAGTTAAGTGCTGATTGCTTGTAAACCAAACTCTACGATAAATTTGACTTTGGGTAGCTCATCGCGAATACAGCTTAATAGTTAGGTATATGGCGGTGATGCCTGAAGGGTATAAGAAAAAGCATAATCCAAATGATCACTAATGAGTAAACGGATCTGGGTATGATTCCAGTTGGTTCATCTCAATTAGATTACAAGCCGCATAGGTAAGCTACAAATTCGGAAAAGCATCAGACGCGCGTTTCGCCATATTGGGGATCGTCAGTGGTGCGTATCCATCGGTTCCCTACTGCGATCGAACCCATGACCGCTAGAGGCCAACGCCTACTAGTCAGCAGTTTATGCCATTGAACCATGGGGGCCGACAGCCGATCATTACGAATTGAAACTCAACTGCGATATAGCCCGACCCATCCTCTACTGCCGTGCGTTAGGCGTTAGCCTCTAGCGGTCATGGGTTCGATCCCCAGCAGGGGACCGATGGATGCGCACCACTGACGATCCCCAATATAGCGAAACGCGCGTCTGATGCTTTTCCGAACTGGTAGCTTACCTATGCGGCTTGTAACCTAATTGAGATGAACCAACTCGAATAATCCAAATGATTTCTGGTGAAACAACTCTAAATTTCAAACATAACTGTTACGCATTCGGGGTTGGAGACTGTATCAGATTAGTTGAATTCAAGATAACAATACAGGCGAGAGGTTGGAGTAGCGAAGAGAAATGAACTTTGATAGCACACGGCTCAGAGTTTATTATTCGATGTTAGTGAACAGCCACTGTCCTTCAGTCAGTTTCAACAAACCGGTTACTTCAAGGTAACTAGTGACAAGTAATCCTAAACTGTCGACTGAGATTTCCGAACAGGACAAGCTTAGAGGTACCCAAGTACCAAAGGGGTAATTCAAACGAAGCCCACATTATAAGACAGTGATGGTATTATGAGCTGCTCACTTGAGCAGAAAGTCTATTTAACAAATTACTGATACACATTCTTCTCAGCTCACCTGATTCCAAGTCCTCACTGGTTTTGTCTTCACCTTCGGAATCGCTTAACTCTTCTGAAACCAAAGTGGAGTAATTGTGATTAAGTAGTTTGTATAGGAAGCGAAACATGCTCTGTCTTTCATTCAGACCACAGATTGTTTTCGGTGGAAGTGGGTACACAAAGGCACCGTCTTTCCAGCAGAGTTGTGAGTACACAGTACATATGTTCAACACACCGCTGAGTTGTCTGTGAGCACGAACTGCTTGTTTTCGGTTTCGATCACTGTGGAAACAAACCTACAAAATGAAGTTGTCAATTGCCTATAAACAAACTACGTGTCCACGTTCTGGCATGCAATTACTGCCTTCTGATATAAAAGTGCATGAAGCGATGTAATTACAACGTCGTGTGAGGCAAGAATGTCGGGAGATTTATTAACATGCTATTCACACAACCGGAATAGAAATGACACTGTTACCACATAAAACCAACTCTCTGGTGACAGATCAAACCAAATCTGCATCAAACGTGGCTCTGATCGACAGAGATAGCACTGGTTTATGGGAGCAAGCTGGGGAACTTGAAGGCGTAAAATTGGATTGACGCAGAAGGAAAGTACATAAAGGAAACAAAAAATTTCGCTGACTAGTGAGTCTTGTTTGGGGAGAAGGAATGACGAACTGTTTAGAAATAAAACAGGCGATGGTCTTCACAGAACACTGCATCATCCAACAACAACAACAACAATATGTCACAACATAACAACCACAAACTATGAGTACATTTGAATGTAGGCAGTAATTTGCGGACTCGTTTGTTTTGCTTGGGACAAGATGGCCAAAACAATGACAACTCTGGGTACATTCTTGGTGTGCGTTGTTCGGAACATTGTATTTTATGGCCACCTTTGTCCTACTTGCGATGCCATTCCAAATGTTGAGAGAGCCGAGGTCAAGTTAAAAAACATGCCGACTTAATGAGACCGCGCGTCACGATAGAGACGGAAAAGTTTGTTATATCTCAAGAAAAAAAGCGGTTTGAAAACAGTAGCTGTAGAAGTACTCCACAAAGAACCAAGGCTCATGGTTCCCAGTAATGGTTAAACAGCATGTGTGAGCCTCGAAGTACTTGGATTTGTATCTATTGTTTGACGCAATCCACAATAATTCAAACAAATGGTGGGACAGAAGCAACGTCTTAGCTCAGTGAATCTAGTCGAAATTGATGCCCATTAAGAGTTCCATAAAAGCGCAGAGCTGCAAATTTGATACCATGAGGTTTGGATTCAAGCATAAATACAGTAACGGCCATAGAATAGGATCCCTTTTATGGTAATCATCATACCTGATCGTATGCATGCATCCATTTAGAGGTTTCCTTCTTAAGAATGCAGAAAAATGCATTATGTTCCATCGTCTTTCCGCCGCTACTTTTCACGTCTTATACTGAACAGTTGAACGGTTCTATCAGTGTCACCCGTTAACGCGCGTTCCAGACGGCCTAAGGCAACAGCAATTGCTCCCTGCGCCGCTGAAAAAGGTTCAAAACAGCGGCCATGTGAACGAAAAGGGAAGGCCAAAAAGTGGCGATTGGCCGCGGGCTCCTCCAATTTAACTACACTCAGCTAATTCGATGTTTATACCTTCCAAGGTGCAGATCTTCGACTGTGTAATTATGGGATGAGTTGTGCCCCTCTACAACACATAATTCCCCACGTTATCCCCTGATCATGGCTTATATGATGTGGAAATCATCCGATAACAGAGGAATGACTTTGCGAGAGTAACTTCTTTGTGAAGCTCTACAGTACCGAAGTGTCTCACTCACAAGTAAGGTAATATTTACGAGTTCAAATCACCAATCTACAAGTTAATTAGTGGTGAACGATATCTCGACTGATGTGCCGTGGTGAGTTTAAAAAAGTAAAAACGTAAACAAGTGTGCTGGTAAAGAAATTACTAATGCGTGTTGCATTATGGATGAATTCAAACAATAATCCCAGTACCTGCTACCTCAATCCACTCCTTGTAGCCTAGATAGTCTTGCTGTTCCCGTTTGGCTTGACGTTCTTTCCGAAACAATAAAGTCCGATCAATCTTTTCCTTTTCTTTACTGAATTCGCTGTACAAAAAAGATCAACAGATTAAAGAACATTTAGTGACCATATTTCGTTTGTATCACTCAAGCAAAAGCATTTACCTATCAGTGGTAACGTTTCGAGATGCATCTGGCTGGATACCTGTGAATAAATCACAAGCTCTACGTGACTTAGCAACGGCTGATCTGACAATGTCGAAACACAACGCATTCCTTCGATGCGTCAGATGCTGGAGCATACTCCAAGAGTAAAACTGTACGATACAATATAAACTGATTGTACGGGAAGATAAGCGACAGGGCATACTTTTCAATAACGAGTATATTAGTAATGTGACCTGTTAAATTACGTCCCTGATTTGCGGTCAGCCGTAGGACAGCTTATGAATTTGTCTAGTTAGGAAACTTTAGACAAGTGTATTTTTGTAGTTATCCTCAGTATGAAAATTCACCCTTCCTGTTGTGTAAAAGCGAAATCTTTACTTGAGATGAATCATAACTCACGAAACTCTCGGAAACCACCCTTGATGCACTGTTCGCGGATGCTAACCCCTCGTTCGCAAGAAAATGGACGCTTAGCGAGTATCCCAGAAAACACGGCTACATGGTCACAGTTAGACCAAGCAGAAACAATTCAAGGGAGTTCAAGTAGAGTCACTGTATTAACAAATGAGTTCGCATTTGGTTTTTCGGGTTTGGAGCAGCAACCGTGTGTCTTGGATTGCGACACACAATCTCGATTGTGGCTTCGGTTGACTTTGAAGTCCGCCTGTGCCAATGTGATCCCTGGGATCGTCACCGAAGTGGAGGTTTCGGTGTGGCTTTCTCCCAAATCTGCACTTCATGACCGACGGTTTCGTCCTGGTTTGGACTCATCAAGTAGAGAAAGGTCGAGCTGGAAGTGGAAGTAGAAGCATAGGACTTGGTGACTACCGCCAAGATCACTAGGCCATTGTGTTCCGCGAGCTATGCTTGAGATTGCGCGTCGCAATCCAAGACACACGGCGGGTGCTCCAAAACCTGAAAATCAATCTCTGACCGCTCGCGGAGCTCACTGGCCTAGTGATCATAGCGATAGCCACCGAGCACTACGCGTCGAGTTCCACTCCCAGCTCGGCTATCTCTACCTGATGAGTTTAAACAACCGTTGGTCGTGGCGTGCAGGATGGGAGAGAATCACACTGAAACCCCCACTTCAGTGACGGCCCCAGTGATGTTCACACCTTACGGTGCAATCTGCTCTGGTCTAGTGACACTAAAATCCATACCAGTAGTTTGGAAGCTAGTATGCGGACTTTGACCCCCAACTTCATGAAGTTTGGGGTCTGGTTTGGTTCATGGTAATGATTTGCCCAACAATATCCACCAATCAGCCGCTACGTGTTCTGCACAACCTAACTGCTAAGCCATTTGGCGACAGGAGGGTAAACCAAAGAAGTGAAACTCCAATGAGATGCGTTTTGTCTGTTCAGCCTATCTGACAGGGTGGTGTACCAAAGGACCGCATCCGGTTAAGCAGTCACACAAAAACAGGCCGACCAGGATAACACCTAAAGCATTGGGGAATCGAGGCGCATGGGGGTCATGCGATCAATTAAGCTGCGCCGTCAACGGTGCTCTGTGAGAACGGTGGGAGGATAGAGTTAACAGAATATCGGACTATTGTCACAATGCGACAGAGAAATGAAGGTGTCTAAGGGGCGCAGAAGGGATAATGCTGACGGACTGGGTTCCTGGTTTGCTGAGTGATGGGTTGTCGGTGAAACAAGTACAAGAGTAGTTTGTAAGATAGCAAAATCAAGGATGATACTAGTGTTAAGTATTGAAAACTATGACCGTGGGTTACGTCGGATTGCATGAAGAAAAGTGGGGCTACATGTGTCATAAATATTCCATTATGTAGCGCATTCTTTTTACCATAGTTGAAAAGCTAATTTTGACAGAAACCTGTGCGAGAAAGCAGGTTCCAGTGACAATCGTAACAGCGTACGCCACAGCCAATGCAAGCGGTGCATGGTTTGGAGGCAGTAAACTTGTCAGAGCACTTTGGATTAAGTGGGCTCTAGGTGAAGCCAAGCCGCTATCGTTAATGCTTGTTTGACTTCATATAGCGGTTCTGAAGGACGCAGAATACCATGGGCCCATCCACTTGACCTCTACTGTAGAGATGACATTATATCAGCGTGGGTGTAGAGTTGGTACGGCAGAAGCATACTGGCCTGCCAGTTTAAGTGCTATACCATTAAGGACGGATTTATTGGAACGTTCATGAAATATCCGTAACATCGTACGGATCACTGATGTTTCCTGATGTCTCTTATCTACACAACAAGAGTAAGGTTAAGTCCTTGCATATCCAGTAGATAGAAAATTTGGTTAGTGGAGAAAATTCATTCTAATCATTCACTCACCCACTCAGAACACCAAGCACCAAATTCATCACAAAGAATGAACCCAGCAAAATGAGCGTCACAAAATAGATCCAAGGCCACCACGACCCGACTGCGTCGGAGACCTGTTGTGCAAACGGAATTGAGTTTCGTATGAACGATGACAGGAACTCGGTGAAAAAGTTATCAACAATTAGAGTCGTGATTTTGAGGGTGGCTGCAGAAGACCTTATCGAGCATCAATTAGCTGCTGAGACCTTGATTTGTGACAACACGTGTGTGCGTAACCGGCTGACCAAACTGTGGTTTAATAATGTATGCTGAAAACGAAATATACTTAAGTTGGCTAGCACTCAGTTGATGTTACCATAAAAAGGCTACTCAAGGCGGTATAGCGCGGCAAGAGGAAACAAACAGGAAATGTACAAAGATATGTGGCACACATTAATGTTATTAGGCAAAGTAGTTTCCGCTTCTTATGTCCTTCATGAACTGCATCAGTGCAAGTCGCCAAGGCGGTCAGTTTACGTGCCCTGCTTGCATAGGCAGCTAATCGATAACTAGGAAGGGTTGAAGTTATCTCAATTCGTGATGCTAAAAGCTCGTCAATGTGGTAACAACAATAGTAGATGGAGCAGAGAGGCTACTGTGATTGGACTTCAACCTTTTCAGTGATGAGCACTGCGAGCGAAAAACATGGTTAGTGGGTCATACACACAGGTACTCGGTATAATTAGGCTTGTACACTTTAAAACATTTGGTATGTGACAGTTCTGAACTCACTTAAGCAGTCAGCACTGTTTCCATTCTTCTCTTCTTCCCGCTTAGCTAGTTATGACAACCCCACCGTCCATGAAATTTTAGACAGGGACATTCTCCGTTCGTTTAGTAACGTACTATTTGCTTGTGAAAATGGCATCTAATTGCCAACGAAGTATTTGTTTTGCATTTCAAATCCACAGGCCTATTACGTAACATAATTGATAGTAACAAATTCCGCAGCTCGGACAGGTCGAATACGAAGGATGGTATTTAGGTGTTGCCCAACACAGCACGGGGTAAGCTTCGCGGATCTCAAGTATTAAACTGTACAATGTCTGACAGCTGTATATTTACATGCAGATGTTCCTGATCTGAACATTTACGCAGCACCCTGCCTAGTAAACGCTGACTCAACATAAGTTTCACAACTAGATTGTGACGCTAGTACTGCGAGAAGGCACTATGATGGAAATCTCGAAGTGCTAATCGTTTCAGTCATGTGTAAACTAGTGTAAGGGACATCGAAGGTAATTTAAAAACGAATAAACTTACAAAGTAACCGGTACTCGTCCATCCTTCCATCGTCACGCACACAAACACGGTCAACATTGAGAGCAAAAAATTGTCGAAGCTCACGATCCCATCTTGTGGACCTGTGTAGCGATCACTTTCCAGATCCATGCAAACGTAGTTCGGACCAAGTTCGTCGCATTTGAAACCCATATATGAAGTTTCGTTTGTACATGGCCTGGGGTTCTGCATCATTTCAACTAGGAATGAGACAAGGAACGATTGAAAGTAACTAACTACGCTAGCAGGAGCGAGATACTGGCTTGTGTGACCAGCTTTACAGAATGCAAGCAGCATGAATGTCGTGATGAAAAATATCAAGCAGAATGCAAGCAGGACCGTAGTTTAAAGTGGAAAAAGCAAACGCTAAGGGTAACAGGAAGCGCCGTCCAGCAGGCTAGGAGGGGATCCTTACGCTTCCAACCTATGACCGATACAATCTGATACAACGGTGACAAAGGTAGGCGAGAAATCTAGTATTCGGGTTCAAAAGAGGATATTGGTTCATGGCACCAGGCAAATACCTGTTTCTACAGATTGCTGATGACAGCCGGGGTGCTTGACCATACCGGCTCTATTTGTACTCCAGTTATTTGGTGCTAATCAATGCAGTAAAGTGGCAGTGATTAGCAAGCGGATAGTTTAAAGAACACAGTAGTGTGTGCATTTGACAGTATACCATGCAGGGCTGGATTTCGATTCGCGTTCGGAGTCGTGATGTACTCATTTGAGTCGACAAGTCAGGTCGGCGCTCAAGCTATATGTGTCACGGTGCATCAGTTCACAAGTTGAACAATCCGTCCTCTATGTGAAAACCTATCGAGTTGTACCATCACAGAATTTATGCAACTGCGCTTACAACAAGTGAGTGGTTCTGCAGGAAGTAAGCAAACTGGCATAAATTGAAGGTATCTCAACCCAAAAAGGATCATGTGAATGCTATACGGCGAAATATGTATACTCGTGAGTCACTCGAATGATCTAACCCTTAACTAACCCCAGTCGGAGCGTATGGGAGGTTAGAAGTACTTTATCACTACATACGCTGGTCTTGTTTCAGCGTTGAGAGTCTCGTAAGAGTAGGGGAAACCTTGTCTCCGATTAAATCGACCCTATTGGCTGGTGGACGGGAATATTTGTCATATGTAGTTCATCCGGTTTACAGTCTTATCCATTTTATCCACCATAAAATAACGCTTGTATTACCCAGGATTGCATGCTAGCGTAGTTGAGCAGAGGATAATTTAAACAGAACCATTGTATTAGGCAAAAAGTGCATCATGTCGAGTTTTAAAATGTTACGAAATGTATCGAAAGCGAAAATCACCCGCGCATAGCGAGACCATACAACATCACTGTGATGCATTTGTTTTAAAATACAATAAATACAATAAATGTGGATCTCGGCACATATATTGAGTAACAGATGATTCCTCAGGCTAGATATAACACATGGAATCACAATGCATCAAAAATGCTCTAAAACATTGGACAAATGATGGATGCTCCCCGATCGTAACATTGAACTCTAAGACCGGTTTCCTGATCAATTGCACTCTGCCCGCGATTCGCTCGATGGCCCCATGTTTCTTTCCCATACTCAGTGACTTTAACGAACTATCTTTTAAAGGTTAGTTAAAATAACACCGCTAATGGGATTACTTTTAATCTGATAATCTTACAAATGACTTTGGGGTATTCAAAGTTAACTAATGTCTGAGAAATGTTTCCAATTTTCTGCAGTAACTAATGTAAACTCCGGACCATACACCAGGAATTCAAGTGTGGTCATGTCAATGGCCATGCCATGTTGACGTTGCATCAGTAGAGTACCGTACTGATGTGGCAGGTGGTACCGCCTTCTCTGCGCAACCAAACAGCTGACGATCCTCAACACTACGATCGTATTTTACCAGTTCTCGCTGGTGATGAAAAGCAGGGGTTACCAGGATAAGCCGTAACACCGGTATTTCATTACATTTCCTCTTTGAAATGAGATTCAATTTGACTGTTCCATTAATGAATTGTTTTCCTTACAGAACGTGATACGTTCAAAGACTTGGTATCGCTTGTAACCTGGGCTTTGACACAATATCGCTGAACTGCGAACCTGGTAGAAGTATCAGCAGTACATCGACATCACGCACTGATGCCTCGCTGTTACGTAACCACAAGCGGTTGTGCGTGAGCTGGAATATTGCGACAGAGCTCGAACACATGTCGAATTCGGTGCTAAAACCGTGGACGTAGAAGATGGGAATCAAGTTCTAGAGCTACGAAACCACGGAGCCAACAATGAAAGCAAAGTGAGCTGCCTGATTTTTCTAAACAATGCAAAGTGAGTCAAGTGTCATGTCGAGTTCAACACACTCAGCTACCGCGCAGCTGAAAAATCAGGTCACAGCCGCATTGTATGATTCCAGTGATTCTCAGTAGCTAAAGCTGATAGCAAAGACTAGTAATTCTAACCAAACGCAGTGGCAAATATGGAATAAACCGTTCTGCAATAAATTGTGTTTTAGTTACTTATGTGTGAGGAACGCCACGGGAAAAACAATCGCATTGTATCAAGGATTTCACATATCAAGGATTTCGCATATCCAAATGAATGAACTTACGTTTGGTTGTAGTGTTCTTGTAGCATGTGTAATGCAGTTTCGACTGGAACAGCTCAAGTCCAATAATAGCGTACACAATAATGACAAATATCACCAGGAGAGCAATGTGCAGTAGTGGGACCATGGCAGTAATGATGGAATTGAGCACTACTTGAAGACCTGGAAAATCCATTAACCAGATAACACATCTTAAGGTAAGTAAACAAGCAATGTATCTGAGTGGGATATCAATCTTTTCAACGAAACAAATAAACCTCGTTAACTGTGTATTGAGAAGCTAGTCAAAAAAGCCATGTGGATGCACCGAATTAACGGAGTAACAGAGTAACGTTCATAATACGGCGAAAATGCACGATCTAACAATTTCTTGTTTCCTCTACACGCAAGTTGTTACTAAGGCAAAATTGCATAACGTATAGCGCAGTGAAACTCAAATGGCGTTCGCCAGACACGGAAAGAAAGTTTATTAATAAACTCTGAACACTTGAAGTGCTCCGCTGTTCTACTGATCAACGTTTCTATGATGAACAGTGCTTACCTTTCTCAGGCTGTTTGCAGCAAACACACTTAAAAACACAAATCACTCAGTATAGTCACTTTCAGGAGCGAATATGCAAGGGACGAATTCTTCTAGAAAGTAAAGAGTTCATCGCGGTAGCTTCCAAGTTAGATGACCATCTACACGTCCGGAAAAGTGTCAGACGGCTGCTTCTTCCTATAGGGACTCGTCAGTGGTACGCATCGCCTTCCGCTCTTAGGAACCGAACTCATGTTATGGTTTGCACCGCTAGCCAAAAGACTATGTCACTAAGTCAAGGAGAACGGCGGCGAAGGGTGATGGCTTACGAGCTTGTGTAGGAAATGATATTGTAAAGCCGATAGGGCGTTCAGCTGGGGAGCTACGGGTTACAGGAGACTGATGTTTGTGAAGAGTGACAAGTTTGCGTGTAACGGAGGTAGCCAACGGGTGCTGTAACATAGTAGTGCACCAGCCGCGAAAACACCGTCGCTGTGCACTGAAAAGCGGACAAACTGTCCCATTGTTTGGGCACGAAACAGACTGAGACAAAGGGCACCAAGTCGGGTACTAAAGCCCCAATAGTAGGGTAGCGTTTTCAGAAATGAAAAACCAAACAAGTCGAAGTGGTGAGGGACAGGGTGGAAAAGATGACGAGGCGGCCTCTTAAATTGATCGATGGAAATAGATAATAGCTGCGGAACAAAAGACGATTGGATTGTCCCGAAAGTGGCTGTGACGTAGGGCACAACAGCTTTGTGCTATACATAGACAAATCCCCATTAGGAAGAGAAACATGATAGTTTCTGGCCTCGTGTATCTGGATAATCAGGTTGTCATCACAAACTGCGAAGCGGGTCTCCGTCGGCAAGCTCCTGAGAGAACAGATAGCAGTCTACACATCCTCTTTTCTCGGTTGCAAAGGAAAAGGTGGACTGGATAACGGTAAGTTACATTAGCAAAGACCTCTACTTAAAAGCAATGATAACCTGACATAAGGTTAGCATAAAAGATGCTCGTCGCTAATCATAAGTGTCCAGTCGTAAAAGAAATCCATGCTTTGTAAAATGCACATGTGGTGGAGGAAATAGAGGAGCAGTAACAAAGTAGGGCCAAAGGGTGAACGTGGGCACAATGAGATCAAATATCGGTCAGATCCAGAGTTCTCTGCTTAGAAGTTTAGCGATTTGTGATACAAAGCAACATATGTGGTACAGTGTTAGACATTAGCAGTACTGTATGTCTGACCACTGCAGTCAAGAGAATGAGGTCGGGTGACAACGGTTAACTCTCTACCCGTGAGATGATATAAAGTTAATCACTGAAAACTCTTCGTAAGCGACTCTATCCTTTACTGTGAGGGATTTTTGACCAATTTTGTACAGGAATGTTTGAAGGGACCAATCAAACTATGAAATTTCCATTTATATAGTGGACCGAAGGTGTGAAGTAGAGGTTGAATCCCCGTGCATTATCCGAAGGCTGCTACCGTCGGTTACACAATCTGATCGTTATATCCAAGCAGCTCCAGTGATGTCAAGTGATCCATCATTGCAGCCAACAAAAATACCGGTACCGTACAGACCCTGAATCTATTTCATATGTGGAAATAACTGCAATAGAGTGGCTGGTTTTCTGTTTTCGTGACTTCAGTTTAAGATTGCATTGTACAAAGGAAGCACGATGTATATTAGCAGTTGGTTTGCATAGCCGATGGGAACATATTCCCTGGTGACTTCAGATTCGTCGTTTCCAGACAACTGGACTATGGTGCAGCTTTAGACCAAACAGGTCAACTCTTTCACTCACAGAAAAACAATGCAGTAGAGTGCATAACCCACAAGTTTTTAGCCCAGAGCTCACAGCTGAGTTGACTAAATTCAGAAATCTAACCCATGAATAGTATGAAAAGCATGATAAATTTCGAGGATCACTGATGAATTTGTTATGAGGCGCCTTCCGTTCGATGCGCTTCACATTTTCGCCCTATCCTTGCGTCTAGATGTTGGAGATATAGCACTGTCATCATGTGATATGTGTATCAGGGTAAAATGAAAGTTGTAAAGTAATGAGAACATTAGCAAACTAAGTTGCATCTGATAGTGAGCTGTTCATTTCACATGGACAACTCTATCGAGTTCAAGCTCATAATGGAAAGGCTTGTAGAGCCTCGTCGGCAATCCCAACAAATCAGTTAATCAGTATGATAAGAGAGAACAAATCTCCAGTTGTAGTCTCACTAAGCAAACATGAGCGTAAGGAATGGGGGTATCATTGTCACAGCTGTACGCAAAACGATCAACACTGAAAAGTCAAGTTAAACTTTGTACTTAGCACAGAGGAACTAGGACATAGTTCTTTCTATCACTGACATAAGGACGTAGGGAAATCGACTGATCTCACGTCAAATGAGAAGAGCACATGGATTACTTACTTGGTAAACCCGAAAGCAAACGTAGTGGTCGCAAGACTCGAAATGCCCGGAGTGCCTTCACGTCCCCACTGGTCTCTTCCAGAGCCTTTGACGACAGACTGATGAAAAGTGAAATGGAATCTTGTAAGGCCATTAAGTGAACACAAGAACCAAACAATAAGCAGCTACTGCGCAAAAGAAGTTGGAACGCTGAACGGCACAAAGCAAATTACTCAATATTTGGGTACATCTGACTCGCTACTTAGCGAGCACTGTTAGTTTAGAGGACTAATCTTTTTGGATTAATAGTCTGATGGAACTAACAAACAGTCTTGATGTGCACAGTACGACCGAATTCCATGAAAACGCCTTGTTGAGCAAGTTGTGGGACAACTGCCGCAATACACTATTTTTTCAACAATCAACAGCTTGAATGAGACTAATGAGAGCACAGTTTCCTTCACACACATACACAGCGTACAGCAAAGCAACTAAAGCTTGCGAAACTCAATGGCCTAGTGATCATGGCGATAGCCACCAAACCCTATGCGCCGAGTTCTATTCCCAGCTCCGTTATCTCTGCCTGTTAAGTCCAAACCAGGACGAAAGCTTTGGTCGTGAAGTGCAGAGCTAGCAGACAGCCATACCGAAACCCTCAAATAGAGCTTCAATGCACTGCTATCACTCTGCTTTACTTATAACAGTTGGCCGCGCCTGAAGCTGATGCTCGCACTGGACCATACAAATTTACGCAGTCATTATTATGCGGCTATTTTTATCTGGACTGCATGCCAGAAACAACCATCTGTTTAACTGCGCAAACCATTCTTGCACTTATCAATGCCAAGTAGATTGCGCGTTACGTCATTTCTGCTGTCTCTACTGTTAGGCCTGATTCCTCAGTGTTATCTCGCAATTCACGTTCCTTCTACATGCTATAATCAACGCCCCGTATCGGAGTTACGCTCATACCCTTCACAGGCTTCACGCTGCTTGATTTAACCGTCTTCGTCTATCGCTGTGGTTAGCCATATATGGAGGTACCGCTTCCTCCAAACACCCAGTCAAACTCGGAATGCATCTCCAAAAGCCCTGTAAATCGAGTTTGGATTAGTGGTTACAGCCTTTAGTCATCGGTTTGGATCTACCGTAAGTAGCTAAAGAGAGAGCTAGAGAATCCGGTGAGAATCCTCGATCAACCTCGGAATTTAGTTAGAATCAACGGTAACGTTGGCTTTGACACGTAATTCTCCCAGAAAATTAAGGCAATTATGAAATGATTGGTTAACGGTGGTTAACGAATGCTTGTTATGGGTGTCAACATGACCGAGAAAATAGGCATTTCATTCCCTTGGGGATACCGTGCCCATTGATAGTGGGCAGTTATTCTATCCAACCCAGATTCAACCACAAACCGTAACAAAAAACAAACGGGTGTGAAGAATGAACGCGGATTTAATTAAAGTGTAAAATAAGAGCATTTCACACCATCAGGAACCGATTTTGGTGGGGCTAGCTGCAACATAGTCTGAGGTCTCCAGTGCAACCAAATCAATTTTTACGGTTGTGTTCGTCGATAGCCAGCGTTGGCGAATCTCAACGTTAGCAAGCTATTGTCCATTCGTCTCCGTCGCAGTCTGATAGATTTCTCTCTAGTTAGTCGGAGTTAGTCTCACTGAGTTGCACGTTTGCAAGCTTCTCCCACAATGGTGAGTTTGCGTTCACAAAAGTCAGCTGAACGCATTGTCTGGTTTCGGGTCGCTGAGTTGCTACACGAATGGTTGCCGACCGGGACCAAACTACGCTACATTTGACTCATAAGTTGTGCGATGAAACTTGAGAAAATTGAAGAACCTCTATTGTGACCACTGAGAAAAACTGCCAATCGTATCGAAACAAATGAAGCGGACAAAACCTTGCGAACACCGCAAGTCTCCATGGTACAATCGGTTAACTCGTTTATTCGGCCAAACGCGAAGGCAGCCACTAGCGATGTACATAACCTCGCCACTCACTATCACAAAGACTGAAACAGTTAACCGAATGAAAAGCAATTCCACCACGATTTTATCACAACCGAGACAATGAGTTCTTACAGTTGGCATCGACATTTCGTTAAATGTTTAAGTTTCTTGAAGGGCACCATAATGATTGCAACTAACGATGTTGAATTTGTTCCAAACTGCTGCACTCTGTGTTGAATACGCACGTTCAGGGCCAAGAAAACACCCCTCTTCAGAACTTTTACCATAGCTACGTGGTTACTTTTTCTTTCTGATTGCGTGGACAGACAACGTCCTCTATCGATATCTTACGTTTATTTCGGTTTATGAAACTGTCTTATCTGTGTTCACGCCGATAGACACCAAGGTAACCTACGAAACTTATAAAAAATTAAAAATCAAACCAAGATAATGAATTTCGTCACATCTAGACTCAATCAGACAGTCGTCACACAAACGAAAAGCACTTTACTGCCGAGTAATCCTTTCGGAAACCGCCAGCAGCGTGCATTCTATCTGACCATTTTATGGCTGAAAATTTCCGAATGGAGGAAACGGCCAAACAGTGCTTTTCCGGGCGTGTGATGACTGAGTGAATCTAGATGTGACGAATTTCTACCTTTACCATTCAACACCCCCTACTACTCTTCAGTAGAATGAAGTTCGGTTGACACATGCCTTTTTGCTTGTACAAACAAGGTTAACAGTGATGACAAACAAACATCTCCATCTGATAATGGAGGTAACCAAAGAACGGCGATGGGTGGCAAAGATACCTCCATGTGTACAGGTTGTACCTGGCCGTTAGTAGTTTTGAACATATATTTCTGGTCTCATCGAGCTAACCCACTGGGCACCAAACATCGAATTAAATAAATAAATAAATGGGTATATTTCCAGATGAGCGGGATACGTTCCCTTTTGTGGGACAATCATTTGATTAGTCAACGTAGTCTTTGAGATTAGTAGGTGTTTGTATATGGGGCACACCGGATGCTTAGGCAAACGGGTACTTTGAGGAAGCATGGAAGTTGGTTAGCCTCTTTGGTGTAGTTTCCTTCAATTATGCATTCAGTGCCTTACCGGTTCTGTTCGTGAAGCTGGCCTCGTTTTCACATGCAAATCGGTTTACATAGTGTATTCTGTTCCTGGTTTCTATAAATTCTCTACATTCAAGCGCTAGCAATTCCAAGGAACTACAGCGACCTAAAAATGCCAACGACTTGATAAAGGCAGTGTACGAAGTATGCCATACGATTCATTGTTCTCAATTTGATGTAGTTACTTAGAAAAGGGGACAACATGAGCTTCCACTTTAGGTAAGAGGAACCCCAAGCTGTTTTATGATAACCCGTTAAAGGAACCCAATCTCAATCATTGCTGCTCAACTTGGCTGCTTCAAACAAGCGATTGGCTGGTTGCCGAAGTCGCCAGAGGTGACCGAATCTGTATGCACTGATAGATAGAGAGAGAGAGATCGAGTGCCATGAAGTGGTTTCTTCACGAATATTTTCACTCTGAGACGGATGAGATTTATCAGCAAGATAGTTTAGTCCACACGCAATACATTGTGCCGCCGCCGCCAGACCCAGCTCCCCATCCATGTGAAATCCATTTATGTACACGGATAGTTGGAGTCTTTTAAGGTGCATGGAAATTGTATTATTGTACACTAGAGAAACGCCACTAATAAGGGCATGAACCCTGCACCTTAAAAGAGCGTATCACTGAGTAGACTTAACTTATCTCAAAATCGTTTTTCGGTTGCGCGAAGTATGTAGCTTCCAGTTAAGAATGGAAACGCCGATAGTTGAAAGAGCACATATCAACCAGACACACAAATAGCAATGTTTGGTGGTCGTTTACAGTCCCGAACAAGTGTTCTTTCGTATTCAAACAACCCGTATCTCCAATCTGCATTGCCAGCGGAGTCACCATCAACCAGAGTTGTATCAGTCAAGTCATGAATCTGGGAAGTAAACAGACGACAAACTTTGTCGCGAATTGGACAATAGTCGTAATTTACTGTGCTCGGGTCGTATACATTACATATTTAACGGAAACCAATACTACCTACCATACAGCGAAGTATCCAACCTCGAAGCGACAGTTAAGCGTTTTAACGCCAAATCGAAATATGAGCTTGATAACGACATTGACACCTCCACACAATTCTTTGAAAACCCAGTACAGTTACGAATAGGGCCAGCGAGAAACAATGAAGAAAGAAAGCAGTTCGTCTGCTTGGAGTTACCTCAAACATATCTGTATATATATATATATATATATATATATATATATATATCGTTCTGTTTCTCACTTATTCAACTAGACTTTTTTGTATACGCCATTTGTAATGGATGTACGACCGTCAAAACTGTATAGCCCAATAAGCATTTCTGGATGAACAGAGTACCAGTAAGCTCTATGGAGATACAAAGTCAGTAAGATTAGTATGTCCCACCACTAAGGTTCAACTTTAAGGCAGTGATGTGACGGTGTATTATACTCTTGGGTCTGCGTTGATCCAAACAAGAAGCAATGGTTAATTGAACGGTCATGATAGCTTCGTGGTCAAATGGCTCACCAAGAAACCGGAAGGTTAATGTTAGAAGTGCATCAGAGGATAGCTGTTTAACAAGAACGGAAGGACGATAAGCAACTAGAGGAGATAAGGATCTCGAAAAAAGTATGCTCAAGACTGGTGCACCTTGGAAAAACTTTAGAGGTATATAACGGTACACGTGGAAGTGCGGGTAAAGTTTTACACTGTATGGGAGCTGATTATCCTGAAGCATGGTTTAGTAACCTCGACCGAAACGTGCAGAAGAAATTGCTAGACTGGCACACCGATAGAAACTACGTTCCGATAGGATAAACCAGAATGTTTATAAGCAGCGGAGACCTGGCTAAGAAATGCGATTGACATATTAGAAGAGGTTGTTAGATTATGGGAAGTGGATCTTTTAGGTTGGTAATGGAGCATTTAAGGAGAAAAGTTTTATTCTCAGAGATGCTCGCTGAAACAAGAACGGGAGCGCGAAGTGCGACACTGCACCGCTAAAGTCGGAGAGTGGACCACAAGTGCACTAAAAAGCTTGGACGGGCATCAGGACACGCAATTAGGGTGTAGTATAAGGGAACATATACAAAATCCCATCATTCGGGAGATAGCATCAGACATACTGTAAAGGAACATGCACAGAACGAATTTTTGAGCTGGAGCAAATGGCAAAGCAAGGTTTCGAAACTTGAGTCTAAAAGGTTTAATCTAGTAGGGAACATGAACGTAACATGTGAACACAGTTCCTCAGTAGTATGCTGAAAATGAACTAGTAATGAAGTAATGACTGAACGTAGAAAGTTAATAATAACCAACATTTAGGGAAATGCAAGAACACGGACCACTCCTATTATGGGGCAAAAACACGAGTTTCACCCGAAAAATGCCGTGTGGTTAGATAGCGCATGTATTCTAACTCAGGCCCACAAGATGCTGCTATTATTACTGGAGTTAAAGACAAAACATTAATAGTAAGAGTAGAGAATCAAAATTTAAACATGATACTCAGCTTTCAGTATAGCAAACTTTCACATTTGGTGAATTAAAGTGCATAATAATGAAGGAAAAGCAGAGAAATTTTCTTGTAAGTGCTCTCAGCCTACCCCCTTTAAGTGCAGCAGAGTAAATCAACAAAATGGTCAAAAGAGAAAGGGGACTTATGAGCAACCGAAGTACCGAAAGGAAAGCTACATGTAATCAAGGTGGAGCATTACATTGTCGAACAAAAGTCGCTCACCCTATCAGAACAATTGAAAAATCCAATGCATTCCAGAAGGTGCGTAAGTAAGCACCTGGATGAAGCACAAATCCATAGGCGACTATTTTAAGCACCGATTCGGTGGTAAAAATGATGACAAATGCCAGTTCCACTTTTTCCTGTTGTGAAAACAAATATATGGATAGATAAGCCGGCGCTATAAAAATTAGGTATCAGAGGTTTAAAATGTACGCACTAGTCCAGTGTTTGAAAAATACGTGGTAGAAACCTAACTTTGTTATTCCGACGACATATCGCGATAAACAAGCTGCCAGAAGATGAACAAAGTGGATACCTAAGGCGAACCGCGATTCACCTGTGGTAATAATAATCTAGATACCATTTTGCCAGAGCATGCAGTGGTATAGAGATTGCGGACACTACTTAAAATAACTCCACGTGGCCAGCACACGGTTTGCCACTAGAACTGATTGGAAAGTGCACAGTACCAAACACTTTTTAGGGCTAGATGTAAACGCTCTGACAGCCATTGAAGGAACCATGGATAGAGAACCAGTTTCTTGCAATGCTTTGTGCGTCAATTCGGTTTAAAGACGACTCTCGACCCTGCATAATAATCGAGCTTTCCTGTTGAATTACCCCAGTGGGTAACATTAGTAGTTAAATTGCACACAAGCGGTGGGCCGAGTTACTCAAATCGCGTGGCCGTTCAAAACAGTGCATAGAGGATACGCGTAAAATCAACCAACAAGAGATCGGTTTATTCCGTAAACTCGAATAAGCTCACAACATGTTACTACACAGGTTGATAAGTGGTGCAGGTAGATTTCCTTGTTTTAGAGCCCCGAGGACACGAAACGGATAGATAGTGCAAACTTTATCACGAAGAAGCACGCATTGTTGGATTGATGAGGGAGGTAGCGTTGAGTTTCTACACAGTAGGCATTTGATCTGTGTTACATAAGTAACCACGAGCAAACAACTGCTAGAATAAATTGTTCATTTGTTCTCCGAGCTTGGCAGTTTTCTCGCAAACGTTTCACCACCATGCGAGGTGGCATCCTCAGTGCAGTGATATGTAGCGTACAAGCTTCACTGCTAGAATAATTAGGTGCTTTTTCTATGGAAGCAAGGCATGCATATTGGGTTTTCGGGAGGCACACTTGTTTGGCTACAATATACAACACCCTATATTACAGTTAAAGGGGGGTGGCGATTAAAAGAGCAATTAACCATTATTTGAGAATTGCCTAAAGGAGACTGCTTGTTCCGGTCACTATCAGGACAACCGATAACGTAGCGGTCATGTTTGGGAACATTGTGTACAGAAGAAATGACCGGGACCTATGAACGAATGTGGTATCATTGTAGGTTAGCTAAGCTGCGCCGATTGTTATCAGCTAACATTTCCAAACAACATTATGTACAAACGACATAAATCTGTTTCATGTATGGGAAAAATGAACAAAAATATGTTAACATAAGAGTATCAGTATGAAAGGCACATTCATAGATGTAATGAAAACAAAGACCCATCTAGCGATGGATGATATTGTGTGTCGCCTTGCGCGGGATCACCATGGCACACATTAACTTAGCGTGTTTGTTGCGCAGTAAACATGCTTGACTATGCTAACCTAGACTGTTCTTGAATATGGAGCAGGAAAGCGACGGCAATGGGAGGTTTGTGGATACGTTTGTCCGGAGACCACTTATGATAGCATGGCACGTTATGCACCGACGCTAATTAAAAGTCCTTGCGGAAGGAACTTTAGTGCGGGTTCTGTGTGGAAAATCAGTCGTCAGGTTGGTGATGTATGGGAAGGTGCTCAACGAAACATCAATGTGAGAATACACAGTAAGATTAATACAGCCCTAAAGATGAGTCAAATCGGTGAAGGCGTACCTGCTTTAAAGGCCACACCAGCACACGGGCAGATAAGGCATGGAAGTGCGGATGAAACGCATCGACGGAATAACCCGCATGGAAATAGGTTCCCAGGAGAAGGTTCCATGGATGGCCGTAGTACCACGTATATATTTGGATTTATCTACACTTTTTATTTTTTGACAACCTCTCGATCAGCCCGAAAGATTTGATCGATCCATTAGCCATGTACGACAGAAAATAGTTGGGGAACTGCTTTGGAATTTCAAAAATTATACAATCGCTACCCGCAATTCTGCTGTAGATCAAACATAGTAACATGCAGTTGGACTGTGCCTCTCACCGACGAGCAATACACTACAGTTTTTGATCCGCCACAAGTTAATATTGCTCATGCAAAAGCATGATGCTACCTGTGCATACATGATCGGTGCCAAATGTGGACGCAGCTACTCATTCAATGTGAAACATATCTACTACTACAAATAATATAGAGTAGATGGGTATCTCTTAGCTACCGCGATGACGAATGTGAGGGCAACTCTGAGTTGGACAGCTTTAGATCCATTGAGTAACATATGCAGGTGACCTCACGATGATCGAGTGCTTTCCGCACTGAACCTGATGCCAACTAACGGAAAGTATCATGAATGAGCTACTGGATCATTTACAAAACCCCATGGATGATTTTAAATGTACCATGGAATTGTCGGATTGGGAAATGGTATTCAATGAACTATGGAAACTGGCTTGTTCGTAGAGCGATGGACATTTGTTTCGTTTCATCTGTTCCCCGCAGGACAAAAATCAAACATCCTACTGTTATGTGTCAGTGGGGCCGACTTGTCTGACTGAATAGTATCCAATGCCGCACAGGTTATTGCTGTGGAAGAGGCAAAGTAGATCCTCCGGGAATTGACTCCCAAACCTAGACTGTTTAGTAACCTGCCACATTGGTATGGATATGGGTGGAGTACTGATTACAATAGCTTAATGGGAAAACTTAAGTGGTATATATCGGCTATCACAACTGGAAAGCATGTGTGCCGTAGATGATCCATCAAAGGATAAATAACCGCTTAATTTTTTCACGGGGAGTGAACGTAGTGAGTGAACGTAAGTATGAGGAATTTAGCTTAAATCATTTAAATCCCCTTTCTTCTTCCTTTCAATTGACTTCTCACTTCAGGATTGAGTCGCTTGAGTTAATTCAAAATCTGGATATTGTATGTTCCAGTTCGGAGAGAAACCGTGCTTACTTCCAATCGATCAGCATTCCTGTGACTGTTGTGGGATGGAGAAAAACGAGCCATTGCAAACAGGAACTAATGGGCTGTCCTGAAAGTGTGTTTCTGCTTACAGGGTGGGCCATTTTCCATGCTGGCTCATCCTCGGTGTAGATCCTCAGAAGATTTTTCCAAAGCCACTCCCTAGGTCATACTCTGGTGGGGGTGACTAATTCAGCCAAATGGTTTATTGTCTATCGAGGTCACCACTCCTTCATACTTACCCTTGTGCCCCACCCAATGAAAAGGGGGTGAGTTTCGCTAAATTGCTAATCGGGTCAACACACAGACAGCATCAGGGTATTAAGGCGGAAATGCATAGGTCGAACTCGTAGACAAGGCCAGTTGATTGATGCGCCGGAAAACAGGAACGAGCAGGCCTGGTGCCCTCGAATCTTAGAGGCAATAATGGGACCGGCTGGTCATGATGAAACCAATGGTGGATTAACCATACCGTATTATCCAGCTTAGTTAGCTCAGTGATTGTAGCCGGTTAATTTGTGGCATCACTAGGTTAGAAAAGTCATGTCCGGTCATGTTGATTTGCAGTTTACGAGGAGCCAGGGCGGTCCACTCTCTAGCTGAGTGTGCTAGCCAAGTTAAACCATCAGATGAAATCTGGTGGCATGCTCTTTTGAAGTGGTCATCCAAAGCTAGGCAAAGAGGAAAGGAGGAGTACGCTAGTGGGAATACGACAGCTACCTAGGCTGCGAGAGTGCATTATGACGTATTCTATTCACTTGAACTACGAGGTTGCGAAACTTGGTCCCTTAAATCAAGTTCTAATTTGGTTTTAATGGCAGCCCACCGTTTTGGAAACTAGATTCAATTTGTGTTTGAGAAAAGGGGAGTGAAAGCACTGACCAAGCTTTTTAAAGGTAGTTACGGTCCTGAATAGCTGATGCAGTTTATTCCGGTGAACTTAGTTCCAATATATTGGAAGGGTGATTTCTGTTCTTTGAGCCATTGGCGCTGTTATTGTAATGCTCGAAACATAAATATGATCACCAAAGTTAACTCATATACGTCGTAATGTCTGTCTCGATTGTCTGTTCACAAGTTACGTGTTGCATCCGTCGATGTTCGTATGGTCATGTCACGCAATGACAGTCAAGGTAGATGGGCACCAGATCAACTTAACCCTTTGAGTCTAGAATTAATTTATCTATAAATTTTGAATTACTTTTAATCTCATGAGATAGATGTTGATTAGTAATAATTTAAAAAGAAATAAAATTTTTGTGAACATGTTCATGTTTATTTTTAAGGTGGTATTTGTAAGTACCGACAGTAACGTAGGTCATTAAAATTGTCACCATGAAGGTACATTACTGAAAGGGATATTCTTGTAACCAGTACTTTTTGTTTTTGCAACACAAAACTAAATCACATTTTGAATGCGGTCTAGATAAGATTTTTTTGAATGTGACTGATTTCACATATTCCCCTTTTTGCAACGATATATGCCAGTGAGCGCCAACTTTCTGTGTCCTAACGTCTTTAGGCAGACAATGCTTGTTAATCCTTCGTCTTTTTAGTTTGTTTATTGATAACATCATACTAAGTGAAAGACAGCCTCATTTTCTATGATCTGTTTCACATAGCAACAAGCCCCTTTTCCAAATTCTTCGAAACTCCAGTATAATGCATGTCCTCAAACATAACATATGGATTGACATACGTCATTTGTATCGTTGCGAAAAACAGTGTTTGCTACCACTTGTTGATTTCTTATCACAATCCTCTGTTGGGCGCAGCAAATCTGCATTGCTCACTCCGCCCATGACTGGATTGAAACCTTGTACTATCTTAGGGGTTACTACATCGGTCATTGTTGCATTCCGCTCTTTACGCCTCACAGTAAGTGAATCATTTCCATCGTAGTTGGACAACAGATGAACACACTTGAAGAACACAAGTCCGTAGTCTGCAGAACGATAATCAAAATCCTCTCTTCATCTCCATGTTCTCTTGAAGTTTAGGA